TGGGCACCTGTGGCTGGTCAGAGGGACCCCCATCCTGAGGCGGGCATGGGTGAGAGAGAAGGTGGGGCTGCGACCACCCCCTGCCAACACACACCCCCCTTCACTGCCTCCTACCCCTCCTACTTGGAGATCCCCATTAATTCCTCACCCTGACAGGAAGTAACCCTCCGGCTGACCGGGTGCCTTTATCACCAGGCAAGGCTACACTCGCTCCATTTCCAAGAGGGAGCCCTCTGCCCCCCATGACCCCATGACCCCATGCCCCCATGCTCAGGGTTGGGCCCCTCCCTTCTCGGAGGTGCCCCTAGGCCAGCAGCAGAAGAGAAGCCTGGCCAGGCTGAGGGCAGGGCTGGGCCTCCAGGAAGCGAGAGAGCCGAGTCCCCAGGGGAGGTCCCCAGGGCAGGGGCTCCTGCTGTCCCTCTGCGGCCCTGCTGCGGCCGCACCCAGTGGGCTCTCGTGTCCCCCAAGCTCATCTGCTGAGTCCAAACTCCAGGGTGACTGTATTTGGACGTGGGCCTGTGAGGAGGTAACCAAGGTCAAGTGAGGTCAGAGGGGGCAGCCCTGACCCAAGGCTGGAGCCCCAGGCAGAAGGGCAGCTCCAAGGCCTGCTCTCCTCTCCACCATGGGAGGGCACAACGAGGGGGCAGCCGCCTGCATCCCGGGAGTCACCCTCCCAGAACCGGACCTTGATCCTGGACTCCCAGCCCCCAGGGCTGTGAGAAATAAATGTCTGTTGTGTGAGCCGCCTGCCTGTGTTTTGTCCGGGTGGCCGGAGCTGGGACACGGTCCCTGAGGCCGACAGCGATCCCAGCCGCAGCCCTCTGCCTTGGAATGAGCTCTTCGGTCTGGTCCTGCCGTGGGACAATGCCCCACCCTCGCCCGAGGCTGCCCACGAGGCTGCTTACAGGTGCACCCCGAGGCCACCGAGGTTCCAGTTGGGTCCCAAGCGCACTGGCTGCTGCATGGCCAGCAGCTCAGAAAGAAAGGCCTGTGTCCCGGCGCCTCCCCCACCCCAGGAATGCAGCCTGTCCTCTCCTCCCACACTCCCTGCAGGGCAGATGACTCGCGGTACAAAGGCCTTCTGTGCCCCTGGCCGGGTGACCCTGGGGTGACAAGGAGCTGCAGGAATGGCAGCTGGGCGGGGAGCAGGCGGGAGGCCCTAAAGCTCCCCCGCTTCCTCCTGCTGCAGAGCCCCCAAAGCCGCCGGGAGCAGGAACTGCGCTTGCCGACTTCCCAAGGCCCACCCGGAGCAGGGACTGGGCCGTCAGCATGAGCTGACACACCGCTCCGAGGGCCAGGCTGTGCCCAGCTTCTCTCCCCTGGCCTTGAAATACACTTCTCTGATTCATTTTTCATCCATGATACACTGGAGACCAGAAGGGGCACAGGGACTCTCCTGAGGTGCTGGACAGCCTCCGTGATCCATCCGGGTGGGGGTTACATGGGTCTGCTCACCAAAACTCACCAGACTGCACAGTTCAGATCCATGCATTTTACTGCGTTAAAGAAAATGTCAATGGCACACAGTCCCAAAAAATAGTCACTGTTTTAAAAAATCAGAAAATATAGACAACGAAAAGATAGAGAATAACCAACCACTGCACTCACATCAGTGGCTGTAAGAGCCAGGCGCACTTGGCCCCCCAGACGCCAGACGCGAGCTGTGCCCACGAAGGCACCTACAACGTGGCTGCTTCGGTCCTGCTAGCTTTTATCAGCAACGAAACATGATCGTATCTCGATGACTCTGCCACAGTGCTTTTTGTGACTATACAACTTTATACTGGATGCATAAACCACATTTTTTTCAACAAATTACCTGTTTGGAAATACACTGTTTCCAGGGTTTTCTTTCAACATTCTAAATAATACAGCCATAAACAACCTGCCCACTGGATCTCTGCCCACATTCTGAAGTGTTGTCTGGAGACACGGTCCCAGGATTGCCATTGCTGGGGCAAATGGCACCTGCATTTTGAACTTTGTGTCTTAATACCAGCTGGGAAGCCATGATTCCGACAGACTTTCTCGTCTTCGCTTCTTTGATCTGAGAACCCCACGGAGGCTGGAGGGGACATCACGGCCATTCCACTTTGGGAACACAGGCCAGAATGAAATTCCAGTAATAAATGTAAAAAAAGTAAGTGGATGTGCATCTGAGCAGGAACGGGTGGAGCCTGCTCGGGAGGCCATCACTCCTGCTGACAACAAAGGGAAGAGGCCAGACACACTGTAAAACTCTCACAGCTAAGGACCAGGGAGCTGTGGGGCTGTGGGGACTGGACAGGCTGTAGTTTTGGGGAGGGCAGGACCCACTGGCCAGGAGGGCCGACGATCCACAGCTATCTGGTTCCCTGTTCCTTTGCCGGTTCTGGGCTCTGGCCTGAGGACTGGGTGTGGCCCAGGCTGGGAGCTGCAGCCGAGGGAAAGAAGGTCAGCAAAGCTCCTGAGGCCACAGGGGCAAAAGTGGCCAAAGCGGAGACCTCGGGGGTTGCAAACCACCCCAAAACATCTGTAAAATCTCAGTGCAGCACACGGCCGGATGCCAGGACCTGCAGGCGCTCAGTTAGATCTGTGAAGTGACCAGCCCTAAACCAAGGAAGCTGGAGCAGGACGGAGCCCTGCCCACTCTCTGGGGCAGCCCTGGAGGCGGCCAAAGCCAGAGAGAAGCTGCAGGGGCGGGCACTCAGGAGAAGGGAGAGCTGGGTGACCCATGCCGTGGCTCTCTGCTTGAAGGCAGGCCCTGTCTGGGCCCTGCACGGTGGCTAAAACCCTGAGGGACCTGCAATCTTGCTGACTTGAAGAATCAGAGGACAGAGTTTGGAGTGACCACTGCAGTTGAAAGGGAGGGGGAAGTCCCAGAAAGGACAGAGCCACCGAGAGAGCCCCACAGCTCCCCGGTCCTTAGCTGTGAGAGTTTTACAGTCTGTCCAGCCTCTTCCCTTTGTTGTCAGCAGGAGTGATGGCCTCCCGAGCAGGCTCCACCCGTTCCTGCTCAGACGCACATCCACTTACTATTTTTACATTTATTACTGGAATTTCATTCCGGCCTGTGTTCCCAAAGTGGAATGGCCGCTCAAACCTCTGGCTGGTCCATGAGCTCTGCTTGCACAGGACAGATACCAAGGAGATAAGCTAACAGAACAGAGGTTTTACCTGCCAACCACAACAGAAGGGAAATATTTGAGTTTGGTGGAGTTAACTGCTCAATAAAACAAATAAATAAGGAACAAAAAAATGAATAATCTTAAAGAGAACACAACAGAATCCTGATTCCCTACAACCCAGTGTTCACAGTGTGCAGGATCTAACCCCAAACCAATAGACATGCAAAGCAGGCAACTGTGGCCGCCATTCAAGAAACAGAAGCCAGAAGACAAAGGGACATCCCTTTGACAGACTGAAAGGAAAGAAAGGCCGACCTAAGATTCTATACCCAGCAGAAATACCCTCCTGAGAGGAGCATGAAAAAGCCTTCAGGAAGCAAACACTAAGACGAATCATCTTCAACAGATCTGCACTCAGAGGAAAACTAAAGGAAATGTATTTAGGCAAATGGAAAATGATCCCAGATATAGACATGAAAATGTAGAAAACAGTGAGGAACACCAGAAAGGGGGGATAAAATATGTGAACAAATTTACATGAATATAGACTGTAAAACAATACTTTCAATACCTTATGGAGTTCAAAAATATAAGTAAAACTACATGCCTAACAACCATAACAAAAAAGGTGGAGGATATTTGCAATACGCCTGTGCCACATAGTGCCAAAGACTAGTGTCCAGAATATATACATACACAAAGAACCCCTGCAAATCAACAAGACAAAGTTAGATCCATAGAAAAGGGCAAAAAGATTTGAACTTCACAGAACAGGATAGTACAGAGATCAGTAAACACATAAAAAGGCACCCAATTCCATTTACCATTGGGGAAATACAAGTTAAAATTGCAATATAGTATCACAAACCCACAGAACGGTCAACATGAAGAAGATGAAAATTTCCAACTGTTGGCAAAGACTCAGAGTAACAAGAACTCTTGTGCATTCCCAGTGACTGCAAAACGTGGAAAAGTGCTTGACGGTGTCTATGAAAGCTGAACCCACACAGACACACGCCCAAGATTTACCCAGCAGATGTGTGTGCACACGTGTACCAAAAGACATGTACTAGAATGTTCAGGGCAACACAAAAGCCAAATGCTGTAAGTCTCCGGAATGCCCGACATCAGTAAAAAGGGTGAATAAATAAACCGTGGGCCGTTTGCCCCCTGGAATGGCAGAGTCAAGGACCACTGAACCCACACCCCCAGCCCTCATGCCGAGCTGAGGACACCAATGCCAAGGAGCGCCCACTTGATCCCTTTTAGGAAGGCTACACCCAACCCAACCAAGGGGCCAAACAGTACATGGCTCTCCTTGCGAGGGGTGCTGACGGAGGGGGCGCAAGGGGCCCGGTGCTGGGGAAGGTCTCCTTGATCCGCACGCCCATTACAGGGTGGGTTCAATTTGTGAAAACCCACCAAGCCTTCTGTTTACACCAGAGGCGCTTTCTCTCTATTACACCCCAATAAAAGTGCCCTCAACACAACCATTCATCTGCACATCTGGGAACCAGAGGGAGGAAGGAGCAGAGTTGGGGGGACCCCAAGAGGGTGCCGTCCCTGCATCCATCTGGCACTAGGCTGGCTGACCCACGTGAGGCATGTGGCTGCCTGAGTGTGATGGCTCTGCCACGGCCTGTTCACATTGTTTGACATCTAGGGAGATCCTGTAGGAACCTGGGTCTCCTGTGATAAGACACTTATCTGAAATCAGAAATTCCTTCCATGAATGATGACATTTGATATTTAGTTTCAGAGTAGAGCACGGACAGTGTCACCCTCCCTGTGTTTCAGGTATTCCCCAACCTTCTCTCACATATTTGCAAAGCAAGATGTCTGGGATAAGATTTAGCAATTTAATGATGGTTATTTCTCAGTGGTCGGATTTAAAGTGACTTTTACAGACTTCTATGATTTTTTTTCTGCACAACTTGATATTTTAAAAACAAGCATTTTTTTCAAAATAATAAGGCTGTTGTTTTGTGTTCGTGGTTAAGCTGTCACTAGCTTGGTAACCGTGAGCAAGTATCTTAACCTCTTGAGCCTTGGTATTTACAACTTTAAAATAGAGACATATTATGAATTCATAGATTTTTATAAGGACTAAATCAGATCATTTTTCAAAGTGCCCAGCAGAGGCCTTTATTGCCCAGTGGCTGCTACAATTGTTCAGCCATGACTAGGGGATAAAACAATGAAAAGACTCAGCCCTGAGGAGATCACAGTCTAGCAGAAAGGGGTGTGGGCAAACACCAGATGCAGTCCACTGACCACCCGCTGCCCTGGGGGTGGCCACCAGGCGGGAAGTCATGGGGGCGGGGCCAGGTGGAGGGCGCCACTTCAGGCCTCCCAAGGAACCTATGACCCCATGGACTCCGCGGGGCCGGCAACGGCGTCCCGTCCAGAGGCGGAGGGGCTCGGTGTGGGGCAAGTCCCAAGTCCACAAGTCAACAACGCCCAGGCCCAGACCCTCCCATCCTGAAAGAGAGGTGGGGGTACCCCAGGCCAGCTCACCCGGGAGCACCCTAGCTGGCATGCCTGAAGGAGGACAGGAAGGCGACGGTGTCCCCACAGACTCACACATGGGGCCTGGGTCCCTCTGACTTGTGGCTCACCCTGGTGCCATGGGCAGCACAACGAGATGCAAGCCCATTGGAAAAGATCCCGCGAGGAGGAGGGCATCGTAGGTGCAGCCAAGGTGGCGGGACTCATGCACTGAGCCTCCTGAGAAGACAGAAGATGCTTGGCACACAGGCAGGTCCCGTCAGCAAGGTCTGCCCAGCAATCAGAGCAGGATTGCTGCCCTCTGACGTGGAACATCGGTGCGTCTACCACCTGCACCATTTCACCAGACAACAGCAAGCCGGGACTGGGATCACCAGGGAAAACACAGAATGCTCCATTAAATTTGAATTTCAGAGAAGTAACAAATAAGTTTAGGTATAAGTAAGTCCCATGTGATATCTGGGACATACTTATGTTAGGCGGAAAAATAGACATAAGCAAGGTGGAGAGAGAATAAAGCCACAAAAGCCCACTAAATGGGACTCAAAGAGTTAACCAGGTAAAACCAGACAGCCAGAAAGAACTCACAGACTTAATGAGTTAATTAGTTGACATTCCAAAGGCCAGGAGCAAGTTGGAAAGTCCAGATATCCTCCAGATACAGAAAAGTATCTGAGGGTAACCCATGTCTTCATTGTATCGATTAGATCATGCCATTGTAAACTCTACTCAGCATGCAAACAGGCCCAGTTTATTCTTTAAATTAACCTATATGCTGTTTATTTCTCTTCCTCCAGCCCTTTAATCAAGTAACTTTGTAACCAGGGCAGGAGACAGGCCTGTGTAAATAAACCTGTGCGGACAAAGAATGCTGAGATCCAGACCAACACAGTCACCTAAATAACCCCATTCTTAAGACAAAACGTCAAAGGAATTATGAATCACCTGTGCACATCATGTCTTCTGTCAACACCCAAAAAGCCCTGTAAAACCCCAGGCTCTGCATCCACAAGCACCCCTCTCTGAGGTTCCCACGCTCTCCTTTCTTCGAGGGTGTCCCTCTGCCCTACTCCAGGAAAGCAGGGCGGGGCTGCCGAGAGCTCTGACCTGCGCTGGCAGGTTCCCGTGGCCTGGGGGACCCAGACAGGACTGCGGCTGGGCGCTCATGCTCCTTCGCTGCCTGCCTGAGAATCTCCTTTCTTTGCTTTGGGAAGTTCTCAGAACGTCACCTCACTGCTGTGGTCGGGAGTTCCCACTCCACGCAGGTTCACGCAGACCCGGATGCCAGGGGACACCAGCTTCAGGGCTGGCAGGGGACGTGCGCCATGCGGAGCGGGAGTTCAGGGAGCTCCCCTGCCCCCCTCTCTGCAGCGGGCCTTGCCTCCGCTGGCAACTCCCTGAAGTGGATGCGAATAAAACCTTAGCCACTGGGTCTCTGCTCTTCTATTCTCTGCTGTGGCGGGGACAAGAACCAAGGGGCAGAAACTGAGCCCCCAACACTTGCACCCAGTATACACAGGAAATACTTACACTAAACCAGTATTTATTAGGACATTCACACTTACCTGGTATCCTGGATGTGTATTAACTAGAGCTGGCGACCCTGCTCCGGGGTGCTGCTGTGCCTTTGTTTATGTGATATAACCAGCATGTGGCAGGTTTTCAATAAATGCTGGACAGACGGATGGACACACTGTGAGATGGCAGGGGTGGGGGGGCAGGGGGGTGGATTCTGTACTGCTTTTAACACTAAGTAGGCTTCAGGATGCCAGGACAGAGCCGGGGCGGGAGCCTGCTCAGAGGAAGACGCCAGCTCCGGCCCATCTCGCCGTCTCCGGGGCTTGCCGCTCAGATTCCCCATCTGTATCTGCTCGCTTGTGTCCCAGCCGAGAGGAAGCCCAGTGTCCAGGGCACGGGCTATGCATCCCTGGCTCAAGGCCCCGCTGCAGGCCCTGACGTCCCAGCCCCAAACTGACTTCCCAGGAAAGGTGACCTCTCAGTTCCCAGCGCCAAGGAGCAGCTCCCAGGCAGCTGACCACGCCATGGCCAAGACCAAGCCCAGCAGCCCTTCTGAGGCCTCCCCTCAGGCGTCCAGACCAGCCGAGGGCTCCCACCCACTCTGTGGAATGCTGCCCAGCTCTCCCGTCCCTCCCACACCAGAGACTGCCTGAGGGTGAGGTGGGACCAGCAGAGCCAAGGGCCACCCAGGGTTCTTCCGGGCCGCCTGCTCCCTCCCTGGACCCCTCGTCCCTTGAGTCATCTAATCCTCCTCCTCTCCTGCCTCTGTCAGGTTGGGTTTCTGACCCTTGCAACCAAAAGGCTCCTGACTACTGCATCCCCCGGACAGGGCGCCCTGCAGCAGGGCTGACCGGGCCCTTCCCTACGGGCCCTCCTCCAGCCTTTAGTGCTGGGCGCCTCCCCTCCACCCGGGAGCTGCCTGCTGGCTCTGACGTGTGTTAGGTGCAGGGCAGGGCACCCAAGTAGCCTGGGCCCCACCTGCCACTCCCATTTTACAGAAGCCCAAAGCCCAGACAGGCAAATAAACATGTGGAAGGGGGCACCCCCGCCCCCATCTGCTCCAGGGGACTGCGGCTAAAGCTGGGCTCTCAGTGCTCAAGGTCTGTAAGTTTTCTTGCTCAGCTCTGTCCAGTATTCCCTGCCCTGGCACCCGCTGAGCGGCCAGCTCCCCTCCTACAGGGGAGAGGGGTCTGCGGGGAGACTGGGGGGTGCAGGGTGCCCTTCCCCTTTCACGCCTCAGATGCCCCACCTGCACACAACATGAATGCTGTCATTATTCCAGAAGGGTGGGAAGGCAGTGTGGCCTAAGGGGTTGCCCAGCCATGGAGAAGGGGGCTTGGAACCCTATCAGAGCCCCGACAGAGCCCCTGCTCGTACCGGCGGCCCAGAGGGATTTCTCAGGGATGTGGGGCCGGGAGGTTCAGGGGTGCTCAAAGTGGCGCTGAGCCCAGGCGACCGGGCCCAGGGGACGGGGAACACCTGGCCACTACAGCATGCTGGGGGGTGGGGGGTGGGACTTGGCCCCCAGCACTGTGCTGCACTCAGGAGAGTCCTACAGGTTCTGGGGTCCCTGAACTGGGGTGAGGGGGTCCCTGAGAAGCCCCTTAGAGGGAGCCCCTGGTATGGCCTGGCTTTGTCACTGAGCATCGGCCACCCCTCTCGTTGACTTTCCGAGGAAAGAGCCCCCACCCCCACCAGTATCAGGCCTCTGGATGGGCAGGAAGAAGGGCCTGAGGTGTGCCCTGCACCCCCCTGCCCCTTTCCCGCTTCCCCACCTCCTTCTCCTCTTCCCAAGGAGGCAGATGGTGGTGGGAACCGCCTCCTCCATTTTCCAGAGTATTACTCAGCCCACAGCCGCCTGCAGCCTGCCCCCCTCACCCTAGCAGGGGCCCAGGGGCTCCCCAAGTGCCCCCGAGACTCCACCGGCAAAGGGAGGGCTCAGGGGCTGGCAAATCTCTGCCAGGACCCCTCATCCCAGGCCTGCATGGGGGAGGGCTGCTTGTGTCTCCCCCACCCACCTCCCCAGCCAACCCTGCGGAGGCCCAGCCGCAGGCCCCTCCAGAGAAGACCCCTCAGACCTCTCACTTCCCACCCACCCGCTGACCTCAGCACCCTGCAATGCAGGAGGGGGGACTGTGTGAGCTCCGTGCGGCCCAGGGAGGGGAGCGGGGCCCAGAGGGGCCAGGACTGGGCCTGGTGGAGCTCTGCTTCTGGGGACACTGCCTTGGCCCGGGAGAGGTTCTGAAGGATGTGAAGGGCCAGGAGGGGCCCAAGGGAGGGAACGGGGGAAGGTTCCAGAAGCAGGAGGTCCCGTGGTCAGCTTGGAATGCTGCAGGAACCAGGCAGCTGAGCTAGTCCAGGGGGAGCACCGTGGCCAGGGGCAGGCAGGGCGGGAGGCTCCACCCAGACACCCTGGGGAAGCCAACCCCAGACCCATAGCTGGGAACCAGCTGGGACAGTGCCCTGCCCTCCTCGGCCCCCCAGAGAGCTTGGGCAGTGCCCCTGCCCGCCAGCTACTCTACCTCGCCCACCCTCTCCTTGTCGGGCTCCTCCAGGCCTTGCCACAGAGCCACCTCCTGGGATGCAGGCACGTGCGTGGGTGCACCTGGCTGACCTGGTAGGGCACTGGAGTGGGACGCGGCCCCTCCTCCAGGCCCCCGAGCCCTCCCTGCCCCCACTACTCCCCCAGCTCTGGGTGCAGCTGCAGGCACGGGGGCTCAAGGAGGTGCAGTCCTTTCTCGTAGGGCCACAGGCTGGGGGCGGTCTGTGTCCCAGACCCCAGACGGCCGTTCCCCCAGGGAAACGTGCCCTCGTGGAGGGCCCAGGGCCCAGGCCTCCTGCTGGGAGGGCTCCGTGGCTGACCTGAGGGCCACGTGCAGCAGGGGCACTGGTGCTCACAGTCGGGGGCCCCCCAGAAGGCCCCCTGACAGCAGTGCGCCAAGGGCTTCTTCATCCTGCCAGCAACTCCAGCTTCACCCCAGGGTGTCTTCCACCCAGGTCCCCCTGACTGTGTGCTGCTCCCAATTTTGAGACTCAGTTTCTGTACCTGCAGGCTTGGCGGGTGGGGGGTGCAGGAGGCTGTGGAAGGAAGGACCTGGGGAGACGGGAAGGGGATGCCGAGGGCCTGGTTTTCCCCAGGGGTAGACATGTCAACTCCAAGGCAGAGCCTTGTTTTAGTGGGAGATGCCCAGGCATGGGCTCTGTGCCCGGCCCCGGCACCTGCCCTCCGTGGCCTCCAGTGGGCCCTTCGCCTCTGAGATCCTGGGTGCCCATCTGTCGTCAGGTGATGACAGCTGCCGGGCAGGGCTGAGTGACAGTCAAAGGCGCCGAGTGTGCAGGCGCTGAATGCCCTTCCAGGGCGGGGCCTGGGGCTCCTCTTCATACCCTGCCCACAGGGCCGCCCACTACATGCTCTGGGGCCGTGGGCACTGGTCCACATCCACACAGTGAGGAGAACCACAGGCCGGGCCCCGCCGAGCTGCCAAAGGAGGGCTCCAGGCAGCACCAGGCTCCAGGGCCCCAGGCCTGGCCATCCCGAGCCCGGGCCCCACCTCTTGTTTTTACGGACACCTGAGGGCAGCGGTCAGAGGGCCCCACTCAGTCCTCTTGCAGACCCCTCTTCATCCCCACTTCACAGGGTCCCCAGCTCCCCGCGGCCAAGGCATCTGCCCCAGGCCAGGCAGAAGCCCAGAATCAGGGCCTGGGCCCCAGCCCGCGGCTACAGTGCTCCTGGGCTGGACCCTGGGCTGGACCCTGGGCCGGACCGCAGGCATCACGGGCCTGCAGTGGGGCCCTCCCAGGCAGCCCACAGCTCTGGAGTACAGCTGGTGGGTGCTGCACCCTGTCTGCACAGGGCCACGCAGGTGATGGTCACACTACACACATCCCCCCAGGACCTCTGTACCACCCAAAACACACCCAGCCAGCCCATCCCCACCTCCAGCCGGGTCCAGGGAGGTGGGCGATGACCCGGGCCTGAGTCAGCAGCTCTGGGAGAGGACAGGCCACCTCCTTAGGACACAAGGGCAGAAGGGTCCAGGCTCTGTCGGCTGGAGTCAGCAGGGCCGCCTGGCCTGCACGGAACCAGCCACACCCCTGCTGGGAGGCCTGTGGCCCTCTCCTCGGGAAGCTTTACACACACTGTCGAGGAGGAGGAGGGTCTGGGCCAAAGCAGCAGGGGGGAGAGAACCGGATGGGCGGGTAGCGTCCTGCGGAGGCTCACCCGCTGCAGCCACACACGCCCCTGCCAGACGCACAGCTCCCGGTGACTCACTCAGCAAACTTCCCCCGGCTCCGTCCCCACCCGGGCCCTGTGGGGGCAGAGCTGGGGGGCAAAAGCAGCTGCCTGTCCCTCAGGGGCAGCGGGTGGAAGGCCATCCAGAGAGTGACACCCAAGGCCCCCAAAGCTACAGCAGGGTGGGGGTGTCTCGGGACTTCTGGGTGCAGGCTTTGAACCTGGACCTTAGGAATACATTCTGTGGCCCACAGATAAATGGATACAATTTAAAACAGGAAAGAGGAGGCAAGGACGTCCGTGTCAGCCATCAACAGAAAGCCCGGCGCCACACTCCTCTCTCGCCTGGGTGGCACCGGACATGGTGCTGGTCACATGCCCGCTGGGCTCATGTGGGGAAGGGCTCAGTGCCCCAGTGTGCAATCACGGTCCCTGACTTGGCCAGGTGGGCTCACCCCCAGCTCGCGGCTGCTCATCAAATTAGAACTTGATCAATAGTTAATCTCAGAAACATACCCAAGGGTACACAGAATTGATGGATGAAAGGAGAAGGTGGCACTACACGGGGCAGCCCCAGAGGGCCCCCCGGGGGAGGGGCGGTGGGCTTCACCCCAGCATCCTGGGCGCAGGGTGGGGTTCCTTCTGAGGCACCCGGAGAAACAGGATGGGCAGAGCTGGGGGTGCGGTGGGGGGCAGTGCTCACTCAGCCCCTGCACCCCATGCCCCAGGCTTCTGCCCTGCTGACCCCTGGCCACACTGGGCCTGGAATTCAGAGTGAAATCGGGAAGACAGGTGACAGCAAACACACAGCCTGGCAGGAAGAGCCCAGGCCAAAGTTCAATGGGGAGAGAGGGGGGATCAGGGATTCCTGTAGGGCCTGGGAGGGCTGGGAGAGGCTGTTGGGGGAGGGTCCTGGACGGAGCTAGGGGAGCTGGGGGCTGGGGACAGGGACAGTGGGGAGCCTGAGCAAGAAGAACAGGGAGCTCCCCAGCTAGGAACTGCCTTCCAGCATATGCAGAAGACCCACACTGGGGTTTGCATTTTAGTTATTTTTAACCCCAAACCTCCCAGCTGCTTTATAGGAAAAAAGGAGGGCCTTGCCTTGACAAGTGCTCAGGAAGAGGCTGAGCAAGGGCACAGGGGTCCCTCTGCCACCTGTGCCCACCACCACCTTGGGGCGAGAAGAGCCCCACCCAGGGAGCCTTAAGGCTCAAGTGGCCTTGTCGGCAGCGGTGAAGCTCAAAGCTGTTTCAGGGCAGGCGGGGCAGACAGAGCCCAGACCTGAACTGGGGTTATTCTGGAGCCAGCAGGTGGCTGCGGGGTGGGTGGGAAGGGGGTGCTGCAGCCCCGAGGGTGGGCCCATGCGCAGCAGGCAGGCAGGATCAGGGCCGCAGCCGCAGCCTCCCCCGCCAGCCCATGATCCCATTCACAGACACTTCTGCAGCACACGCTTCTTCCCCAAAATAAACTGCGAGGCCGAGCTTGGCACTGCATCTAAGAAACCCAGTCCGGTGGCCAAGATCACCAGCGAGGAATTCCCCGCCGGGTTTCCATCTAAGAACACCAGGGGATCCGACTCATTGGCCTGAATGTCCCACCCCCTTCCCTGACCGCTTCTTTGCTCCAAGCCCCCTTCCCTTCTACCCTGCCTCTCCAGAGGGAAGAGGATACCCACCCTCCCAGGCGGCAGCTTCAAGGGCAAGGGCAGGTGGGTGAGGAAAGCGCTGCCAGGTGCAGACGTGGGGCTTTGGGAATGGGGGTCCTGGGCACCTCCCCACCCAAAGCCCTAACACCCCCCGGGACTCCATCTAGGGCATCCCAGTTCCCCACTCTGGCCGCGTTCCCAGAACCGGGCCTGCAGGTTTGGCCATTTCTCTCCGCCTTAGCTGCGGGACCCTTCAAGATGCCTTGGCCCCACTGCACATGAAACAGCAGAGCTGCTCTCCGCCTGTGCCACACTGAGTAACCTGTGCGGAACAGAGCAGACCACTCAGCTGGACCTGCCCTGGCGGCTGAGGTCCTGTGAGCCCCTGGTCACACCTTCCCCAGCCAATCAGGACATCCCCTCGTGATGTGTTTCTGTTGAGAGACCCGCGTTAGGCTGCGCGGCTGATTCTGGGCCTGAGCTCAGCCTCTCCTTCACGCCTGCAGGAAGCGCCTCTAGCACGGGTGTCCCTGTGGGGGGCGTGCTGCACTCCACACGCTGCCCAGCACTTCAGCGCTATGCTTGGGGCACTGCAACAGCAAAATTGCCAACAGAAAGGACGAAAACGTGGAAAACACAGTGCTCACCAGGCCGGGAGGACTCTTGTTCAGAGCAGAGGCCAGGGACGGGCGTGTCGGGGCCTCGAAATCCCTGCCGCTCTGCAAATGACCATGAAATCGACTGCTGGTTTTAGGGTCACAAATACATTTTCGTGAAGCAAGTTCAGAGATTTGAAATCTGTGAAAGTGAGAAAGCCTGTGAGTATATGTGATACTCAAATGAAGAAGGTGCAGTCTGACCCCAGCCTCTGACTGCCCACCTGCTGCCACCATCCCTCTGAGAAGCTGCCTGCACCCACCTCCACCCCCGCCGGCCAGGGATGGTCCCTGGCTGCTGCATACCTCCCACAACAGACACGAACACACAGGCTGGCACTCAGGCACTCTCTGGAAATTGAACTGAGAAACACACGTGAGGGGTACAGGGGCCCGAGCAGGCAATGCTGCCAGGTACCGAGCACAGGCACGGAGGGAGGGGCACTGGCAGGAACAGGGCCCGGGGCCAGGCCTGCAGCTACCTCCCGCCACAGCCCACCTGTCTGTAAATGGCCAGAGGGGTGGAGTTCTTATCAACAAACACGGAGGCAGGACAGCTGCCCACAGAACCACTGCTCAGTGGCAGGGCTGGTGCCCACTCTGACTCGCCAGGCAGAGTTTGTCCCGGGGTGGTTGAGTGGGGGAGGGGGGGTGGATGGTGGACGGATGGGTGGGCATGCTCTCACCGACTTCATTCTGTAGCTGTGTCAGAGATCATCTCAGGGCACTTCAGTAGGATTCAAAAGGGAAAGTGTTTCAAAATGAAACAGATAAAAAGCATTTTAGGTGCTGAACTGACAAAGGAAGGCATCCCAAGGCCATGCTGCTGGGGGTCCCTAGAGGGTCCCAGGCAGCCTCCCTTGCCCACCAGTGCCCGCCTACCCACACCACTCCTCTGGCTTTTGCCTCCACAGCACAGGTCAGGCTGGACAGGCTGGTCTCTGAGAAGGGCTCTTGCCTGCCCTCCAGCCCCCAGCAGGGCTCGCGTTGGCGGCACCCGAAGCCTGCTGTTTCTGCTCATCCCGTCTCCCAGCATCACTGTGGAGAGCCCTCCGCAGGTCCAGGGCAGCAGGGCCGGCTCGCCTGGGGCTGACCTGCTGTGGGTCAGTCTCAGGGGGCACGTGAGTGCCCGCTACCATGCTGCAGGCAGCTGGGTGGGCCACGTGTTGCAGCTCCAGCGTGTTCCTGGTCCTTGGGGACCTGGGTGTCCAGCGCTGGGGGCAGGTATGTGCACACCCCCAGTTCTGACAACAACCCCAGGCCCCCAATGGGAGCTGGCGGGCGGGCAGTGGCTTCCAGAAAGAACCTCCACAAGTCCAATGGGGCCCAGCAAGATGGGCAGAAGCTGCAGGAAGAGCCACTATGGCCCCACTTGGGGACAGGAGACCAGCTCAGAATGGGGCCAAATGGGAGTCCTAGGGGTGCAGAGGGTCAGCAGTAGAGCCTCTAAAAGAAATGAGGGCAAGGGGGTTGTAATCTCAGAAATCAGTGGTGGCAGGATGAGCCCCACGAAGCTGAGGCCCGGACCAGGCCTCAGGGAAAGCCCCTCTGAGACCAGGTGCACAGCCACAGCCTGCCGCACCGCTGACCCCGGCCACCCACCGCACATGGACACCCGCACACAGACACATACACTCACACACACCTGCCCGAGGCTCCCTGCCGTCCTCACCCTGCTCCGGCCCACAGTCACCTGCGGAGAACAGACCCAGCCCTTGGGGTCCCGCAGACACGGCCCCTCCCCGTGCCAGGGCAGCCAGGCCGCACGGGCCTGGCTGGGCCCCCATCCCCGGGCAGACCTGTCCTGGCATCACACAGGGTAGGAGACCCGCTGGCCTTGCCCCAGCCTCTCTCCCGTGCATCCAGGCAGGGGTCCTCACACCCAAGAGTGCTGCACAGGGGCTGGCAAGGTGACTGAGATCCACATGCCCAGCCCATGCCAGGCCTCCCACTCCTGTCCCTGGGTGAGGCTCAGGGTCCTGCGCACTCCCCAGACCCAGGTGGGTGACAGATGCAGTGGGGGCACAGAGGCATGCTCTCCCAGCTGGGCCATGCTCACCAACCCAGGACCAAGGCTAGAAAGTCACTCCCCACCTTCCCCTCCAATTCCTCCACCCACTGGATCAACAAACACACCCACTGATCACAGCTGGCTGCAGCCAGGCGCCTGCTCAGGAAAGTGATGAATCAGCTGGCTGGGCCTCCCGCCCCCAGGTACTGCCAGGATCCAGCTCAGGGGGGCAGGAAGGCTTCCAGGAGGCGGTGCCAACTGCACTGAGGGGCAGGGAGAGGTGGGGAAGGGCTGGCCCACCCCCGGCAGAGGCCCACGCCCATGCAGGGACTTGGCGCATTACAGCGGAGTCCTGGTGCAGGCGCCGCGCATTCACGTGTCCCCATGCTGGAGGGTGTCCAGGAGTCAGGAAGCACCCTCCTTGGCTTGCTCTCCTGGGCATACCCGGCACTCAGGAGCCCTCTGGGGCCCCGCAGGCACTGGCCTGTGACCAGAAACCGCTCCTGCACTGGGGCTGAGCCAAGGAGACTTCCACAGGCTGGGGCTGCTGGGCTGTGGAGGGGCCACCTGTGCCAGGAATGGGCACTTACAGGCCAGGAGCTCCAGGCCTTATCCCTACCCAGCGGAGGGCCAGGCCCAGGGCATGAGCTGCAGCATGGGAAGTCGCCTGGGCCCAGCCTGAGGTATCTGTGTCCAGCACCCTGCCCTCTGCCCCACAACCCTCCATGAGGAGCCCATGCACGGCCCTGCCTGCCCACAGTCCACACGCGGCGGGCCTCCGGGGATTTGCCAGACCATGGTGACATTCACCCATGTTTTCCCAGCAGCCTGGTTACAAGTGCTAGAGGTTCTTACAGTTACCCCTTACAGAAGGGGAGACTGAGGCTCAGCAGTTCACGGCCTGTTGGAGTCAGGGTCGCACACTGAGCGTGCTGGAGCAGGGCCCCTCGGGGCGGGAGCTGTGAAGCCCCCATCAGGCTGCACCTGCCTGCCTCTGCTGGCCCCCTCCTGCACCCAGGGCCTCCTCAGCCTGGGGCCTGGGGCAGTGGGCTCTCTGGGAGCTCTGACTGCACAGAGGATGTCTGAAGGGACTCCCAGACCCAGGCGCCTGGCACTCCCCAGCCAGCCAGCCAGCCAGGCATCATGAGCCTTAGGGGGTCATGGGCAGGCCCTTGCTGGGTAATGTGAGGGTCATGGGCAGGCCCCCCGCCTAGCAGGACTGAGGAGGCAGGACAGGAAGATGGGGTGCAGCATAGCATCCTGGCTGCTGGGGACAGGGGCAGCTTCCTCAGGCCAGAGACCACCCCGACCTCACTGCTGGGAGGAGGCTGGTCCGCCTGGCTGATGGGGACTCTCTCCATCCTGGAGGGCCAGAAGCGCAGTCACCCAGAAGGGGACCATCCTGCTGGCCCAAGCACGCCTCCCGCTGGTGGAGGAGGGGGGTGGGGAAGGGAGATGAGCGACGCCTGGGAGGAGTCCCACCTGCCCACTGTCCGGGGGCCTCTACAGGTGAGCGGGGCAGAGGGCCAGCTGCCGTCGGGGTGGACCTGCAGGAGGGCCGGGGGTGGGCAGGGCGGGGAGCAGGGGCGACAGGAAGGGCCCGACAGTGAGCTCAGAGGTGGGCGGGCATCTTCCAGGGGTTCCCAGGCCCCGCTCCATGCGCCCCGCCCCCACCGCTCCCCCAGCCCCCCAGCCCCCGGAGCAAAGCCGCGGGGCACAGTGCCCAGGTTGGGGGAGCCTCACTGGAGCCCGGCGGGCCGGGCAGGTGGGCGGGGCCTCCCCAGCGACCCCCCCCACCCCCACCCCCGACTCCGCCCCGGCCCGCGCCCGCTCCCCACGTGGCCGCGGCGGACGGGCGGGGCGAGGCGGCGCCACCTCTTCCTCCCGCGCGCCCCGCGGAGCCCCGCCGGAGCCGAGCCCGAGCAGCGCGGAGCCCCGCCGGAGGCGCTGCGCTCGGCCCCTGACCGACCCGACTGTGCGCCGGCCGCGCCCCCGCCCGGTGAGTGCGAGCCTCGGGGCCCTCCCGGAGCCGCGGGAGAAACCGAGGCCGGGCAAACGGGCGCGTGGGGCCGGGGCGGCGGCGTGCGCGTCCCAGGTGCGGCATCCCCCCCGGGCGCCGGGGCCCTGCAGGCTCGCGCCCCGCCCGGACTGGCCGCCCCGGCGCGGAGAGGCCACCCGAGCGCGCACTGCCCCCGGGTGGTGGGCCGAGGGTTGGCCGGGCCTCGCCCTGTCCGGGGCTGGCAGATTCCCTTCCTCGCGCTGCTACATCCTGACCATGAATCAGCCACAGTTGGGAAAATAAACTTCAACTTCGGATCCGCCGCCCAGGTGGCACTGCAGGCGCGCGCGGGCCTGGGCCCCGCCTGGGCTGTTGGGTCTCTAGCTGCCTGGGCGGTGGTGGGCGTGCACGGTCCCGGCGTCCCCACGGGCAGAGCTTGGGCGAACCGCACCGCTTCTCTCTTCCTCCTGGGTGGGGCTGGTAGGCCTGAGTGTGGGAGGCCGGCAGGGTGCTCCTGTCCCAGCCCTGGAAGGACGAGTGACCGTAACCTCAGGAGGGACACTGCAGTGACCTGCTGTGCCTCCACAAGCCCCCCGCTGCCCCCGGGGAGCATAGGCAGGGGCCTCTGGCGGGCTGGCCTCCGGAACTTGTTCAGCCCAGGGCTGCAGGGTGGCCCCAGCTGTGAGCAGTGTCACAGCCCCGCCCTAACCAAGCCCACCAAGAGTCAGAGAGGCCAAGGTGGCCGGGACCCTGCCCTGGTCAGGCATGCCCATGGCAGCTGGAGTTGGGGAGTCCCCTTCCAACCAGCCCCGGCCCCTGCTCCCCCTCAGTGGGACCTGAGCAGGACGTTTGCCTTCTCTGGGCCTCGGTTTCCCCATCTGCCCTCTAAAGTGTGGGGACAGTGGCTCAGGCATGGCCCTCCACCCTGCAGTGGAGAAGGCAGAGACCCAGAGCAAATGCCCCAGCCCCCTTGACGTTGCTGCCCCGGGGCCGGGTCTTTGGGGAGGGGATGCGGCAGCCGTGGAGTAGCAAATATTGGCATTTGGATACAGGTCTGGGGTCTGGGGCCTCATGTTGCCCCACCCATCACCAGGTCAGCCGCTGCCCAGGGACCACCCTCCCACCCCTTCCTCAAGTCATTGCAGGCAGCAGGCAGGGAAAGGGCTGCCGCTGCGGAGTGGTCCGAGATGACCCAGTGCGGCTGGCTGCCTCCCATGACTCACGCAGGCTGCCTGTCTTTCTAGGGTTCTGCTCCTTCACAGCAAAGAGTTAATCGCCAGGTGAAGGCCCCCACTCTGTGGGGGTGCTGACGGCTGTGGGAGCTAATTGCACACACCTCACATTCTGGGACCTGGAAGCTCCTGCCTTAAATAGACTCCATGTGCCTTTCATCCAATTGTTCTCTGTGTTGGGAAAGTTTGCTGGTTTGTGAGGTCGGAGCAGGAGATGGATGGATAGCTGGGTATTAACAGTGCTACCTGTGGGCACAGGGCTTAATGCAGCTGGCCTGGCTCTGACTTGGGGCACAAGGAGAGCTCCAGCCCCTGGCTTCTGAGGACAAGAGGAGGAACCGGGAGGCAGAGCGCCCCCACAGTCCGAGGGATGAGGCCTGACTCAACAGTCCCCCCACAGTCCGAGGGATGAGGCCTGACTCAGCTGCCCGGCCCCCTCCCCCGCTGCAGTCTTGCACAGCAGTCTCTAATACTGCATGACTCGAGGTGCAGCGGGCACAGTGGACTGGGGAGGGTGTGCCCACATCTGTTTCAGGACGGTGGATGGTAGTGGGTCCAGGGGAGACAGGCCAGGAAGGTTGGGAGGTGAAGGCCACATAGCAGCCAGTCTCTGCAGGGCTGTCTGCAGGCACAGAGCCAGGCCTGGAGTTCCCAGGTGCCCCAAATGAGGAACCGGTTTGAAGCCATCATGAAGGAAAGTGCACGTGAAGGGGGTGAGCCCCCTGTCAGAGAAGGTATGAGAGCAGGGTCCAACCACGTGGCCTCCTGTTAGGGAGGCCCCCACCCCTCAGCCTCACCCCAGTAAGGAGGGTCCTGCCCGGTCCTCCTCTGAACACTGGACAGCCTGAGTCCTGAACTGGTGTGGGGTCTCTGCATATACCTGTCCCACCTGCCCAGCACAAAGGGAGACCTCCATGCTGAGCCAGGCAGGGAGAGAGGGGCTAGGTGGGCTTGTCCTCCCCTAAGCCCCTCCCAAGGTGTGACCGCAAGGCAGTGGGGCTCAGGGCTGCTCAGGGCCTCCTCTCTACCAGGCACGCATCTGTCAGTGTTCCTGGCTTGGCCACAGGGCAATGCCAGTGCCTGGAGCAGGCTCCAAGCACTGAGTGGGCCAGCACAGGGGTGGATGACATGCCAGCCTGTCACGTTCCCACCACACAGTCTCCCACCCTCACACCCACCCAGGGAGGCACTTGTACTGCAATTATTGTCCATGTCACAGGTAAGGAGACCGAGGCGTGGGGTGATCAGGTTATGGACAGTGCCCCTGTTCTGGCAAGAGGCATTCATAAAGCCCCTACTGTGCGTGTCAGGCTCTGTGCCCCCCTCACTGCTCCGCTGGGCCAGCCTGTGTACACCATGCTGAGCTTATACAAGGCACTTACCCCAGGTTAGGGTGAGAACTGGCCAGCCCTGGGGGAGGACCAGGAGCCTGGGGCTGCCCTCCTGCCCCTCATTACCACTGCAGGAGACTTGGTACCTTGGCACTGACTCTCTGGGAGTAGGAGGGCTTTGTCCTGGCCAAGCAGCACCCCCAGGCCTCCAAGTAGGGGAGCGGGCAGGTACCTGTGGGCCCTAGAGCAGCCGAGCAGACAGGCAGCTTCTGAGAAGCTGGTCCATCAAGACAGCGCGGACAGCCACAGCTGGGTGAGATGACTGCTACAAAGGCCCCTTTCCCAGGCCCCCCGAGGACAGAATGGCCAAGGGCCATGGCCAGTGTCCTTCACTTCCCTCCCCCACCAGCCCGTCCCCCAGGCCGGGCCTCTTCTCGGGCCCCCAGCTTTCCCCGCCCCAACTCACATGCAGCTGCTTCACCCTTACTTCCTTTCCTGTGGGCTGGTCCTGGGCTGAGCATGCCAGGGATGGTAGGCAGGGAGGGTGGGGGTGGGCTGAGGGCCACCAGCTCCCATGAGGCTGTGCCTGGGCCAACCCACAGGGAAGGCACCGGTCTCCCTGGGCAGGGACCAGGGCCAGCAGTGGGGGGACAGGTTGCTGCCTGTCCCCCTCCCCGCCCGTCTCCACCTCCCCACATTCAGACCCGAGTGGTCTGAGAATGGAAGCCCCAGGTGCCCAGATGAGACCCTGCCCACTTTGGGGGCACCCATGGCCCCCCTGCCTGGTTACCAGGCAAGCCCCCCAAGGCTGGGCCAGGCCATGGAAGTTGGGGCAGAGGAGTGAGGCGCTGCCTGCAGGAGGTGGCAGAGAGACTGGAGGGACCACCCAGGTGTGGGCCAGAGGCGGGACCCAGGAGGTTGCCTTTTGGAGGAGGGGAGGGGAGCAGCCGGGAGGGGCCTTCAGGCCAGGCAGGCCTGGCAGCCACAAAGTGGGACTGGCGCAGCCAACCGAGGTCTCTGGAGTGCACCTGGCCGTGTTACAGGTGGGAAAGCCTGGAAGGGCCTGGCCCCCTAGCCCCCAGCCACACAGCATCCTCAGCCGCGTCATGGACCTTACTTGCTGGGTTGGGCTAGGTTCCTGGCGCTGGCCACGTGGAGCCAGGTGGCCCGGGGGTGCTGGGCTGAGGGGCCACGTCCCAGCCCGGCTTTGGCCCTGGCAGCCTGGCCAAGGAGCTGCAGGCTGAGTGGCCAAATGGGCAGCCGAGCACAGCCCTTTCTGGCAGTTACGGGGCCTGTTTTATGAATGGCGTCTTGGTCATCTCAGCAGGCTGGGGGGGTTGGGGTGGACATGGCCTATCCCCATTTGAGGATGGGAACCAGGGCCCGGGAAGGAGGTCATATGGATCGTTAGAGGGGCACAGCTGGTCAGTGGTGGAGCCTGGCCTACCCAGAACCTGAGTTGTCCCCTGTCTCCCAGGCCCTGGCCACCGCCCCCTGGCAGTGCCTGGCTGTGCAGACCGTGGCCCCTCTCCCATCCTCAATCCGCCGCTTTGTTCTCCCTGCACCTGTGCAGGCAGCCTGGGGACAGGCCTGTGGGGCTGCTGGGCAGGCAGCGGGCAGGCTGCACTCTGGCACCAAGCCGTAGACAAGTACACATTGGGTCCTGAGGCCTCAAGAGCCCAGATAGTCCCTTCCCCTCTCTGGTCACTGAGGGTCCTTCCAGGCTGGGCAAGGCCTTGCCTGAGGGCAGCTTGGGGATAGGGAGGGACACAGGTCTCCTGGAGGAGGCACTTCTGAGCTGCATCTGGTCCTAAGAGAACCCAGGCGGAGCCCTCTTACAGCCCCGTGGAGCCCTGCAGGTGGGGCCCTGCAGGTGGACGCTGTGGCCCGGCACCTGGGGCTTCAGTGGACCAGTGCCAGGCAAACACCACCTTGCCGCCTCCTCCTCCCCACCCACAGGTCTCCTCCAGTGCTCGCTTTCAGATCCAGCTCAGCGGCGGAGGGCAGCGGTGGCCACTGCTGCCTCAGCGCCCCCTGCCACTGCCCCACACTGGGGCCGGTGGGCAGCCCCTCCTGGCTCCAGCCCCTCCTGGCTCCAGCCCCTGGGCTTTGGACCAGAACCTAGAATGTCAGAGGTGGCCAGGCCCTCTGGGGACGCCCCCTTGGCCCTGCTGTGGTGCAGCTAGGGTGACTAAGGCCTGGAGACGGGACCCTAGGTCGGCAGCAGGAGGCATGAGCAGACCCGTGCGCCCCTGGGAGCCCTCAGTGCAGGTGGAAGTGAAGGCCCAGCTCCCCGCCTGGTGGGCCCTCCCTTCTTGCCCTCCCAGGCCCAGCGAGCCGTCCACGGGGGGACGGGCACTCCTAGACCGCCCCAGCCCCTGCCCAGGAGCCCAGACTCACGCAGCGCCCGGCGTAGGGCTGCACTGCAACAGCCCTCCTCCCACTGAAGTGCGGGGCAGCCCCAGGCCCAGCCCATGCCTCCTGCAGGCAGGCGTTGCCTGTTTGCACGTGTCCGCCCCACACCAGGGCTGTCTGCCTCTGTGGCCGCCCGAGCTTCTCTTCCTAACCCAGAAGAGTGGGGCATAGAAGATGCCCACGGGCCAGGCCTGGGCCCTGCACGCCTGACATCACTCCGGCCTGGCCACAGGAGGCCCAGCCCCAGCCTGACTTTCCTGACCGTAGGTGCCCCGGCTCCTGCTCCAGCTCACCCAGACTCCCCCCCCCGCCTTGCTGGCTGCACCCCGCTGCAGTGCTGAGGCCAGCCAGCGCCCAGGCCCGCCCTTCCTCCCTGCGACCTGAGCTCCTCTGAGGGGCTGTGGTCCTCCGGACCGCGGCGCTCTTTCTGATTAGGAAAATGAACACGTTCACCCCAGAGGCAACTTCTCTTGGCAGGTGGGCATGTGTCTTGTGCGGTGTGTCGCGTTTCATGTGCTTGAAATCCTGCAGTGCCACTTGGTGTCCTGTTTCTGTCTGGTTTTAATTTGGCACTGCGTGGCTGTCTTGGTGCCCACCCACCTCCCAGCAGGCTGGGCCCTTCTGTCCTGTGCAGGATGCGCAGTGGCCCAGATGCCTCCTCACACGCACTGGCCAGTTCAAGCGAGGGCTTGGGAGGCACGCCCCTTCCACCCATCCTGGGACTGGGGTGGTGGTGGGTGGAGGGCTCCTTGGCCATGACAGGCCAGGGGACAGTGAGGACACTGCCCACCCGAGGCCTTATGCTTTCCTTGTCAGTGGATGGGCAGGCAGTGGGTGGACACCCAGTTCTTTCTCCTCCTCCTGGAATGAGCCCTCTAGGGACCCAAACAGGTCAGTTCAGGTCCCCCAAGGGCCAGTGGTCTGGGGGGGAAGAGGACACAGGCTGGAGGCTCCAAAGAGCTGAGCTTTGAGGGGCGGGCGCTGTGACAGGTCACAGCCGGCAGTCTCAGCTTCAGGGACCTCCGCCACCCCGCAGGGCCTGGGCTGCCTCTGGACTCCAGGGTGCCGCTCAGAATGCAATCCAAGGGCTGCCAGGCAGTGGAAAGATTTGGGTTCTTGGAGGAGCTAAAAATACAGCCTGGCAGCCCCTGCCCCCTGGTTCCGGAGCCCCGCTCCTGCCATCCACCCGCCCCGCCGGAAGCCGAGCCTGCTCTCTGCACCCCACCCCCGCCCTCACTGGCTCTGGGCCCAGAAGCATCCCGGGCCCTGTGCTGATGCTGGCAGGGAAACCCTGAAGCTGGCTCCCACCCTGGCAGCCAGCCCCTCTCACAGGTGCCCGCCTCCCCATCCTGCACCTTCCCGAGCCTGCATCCCAGCCCCCGGACCCCCAGAACCCCTGGACCAGCCCTTGCTGGGACGTAGGAACAGAAGGCCACTCCCCTCTGAGGGGGCCTGGGCTTCCCCACCCCAGCCTACTGCAGCTCAAAGCCTGCAGACCGTGTGGGGGCTTCCTAACGCTGCATCCAAACACAGTGGCTGCCCAGTGCCCGACTAGGTGTGCACCCCCTGTGCCTCCGTTTCCCCCTCCGCACAACAGGGGCTGGTCTCTGACTTTGACCCTGTCCCCCACTGTGCGCACGCGCGCGCACACACACACACACTCACTCACTCACTCACTCACTCACTCACTCACTCACAGTTGACAGACAATTGCCAGGCAGGGCCGACAGCCTCCTGTGAGTCAGCACAGCTGCCTGGGCATGTGGGTGCCCAGATGGAAGGGCCGGTATCACCCTGCTAGGCTGGCCAGGCGTGGGCAGGGAGGTGGATAGGTGGCCATGGAGGGGGCCAGGAGACCCACTGGACCAATGTCCCCCTCTCCCCCAGGTCGTTGAGGCGGCCCTGTGTGGGCTGGGGGAGTGCCTGGGAGCAGGACACCCACATCAGTGGGCTGACCCCGGAGCATTCCAGGGGGAACCCTGTCTTCAGTAGTCCCAGACTGACCCCGTCCCATTGGAAGCCCCACGTTAGCGGTAGAAAAAGAGAACATTCAAGAACCATGGGCCACTTCCCACTTGTTTTAGAGCACCAGGGTCTTCCTCTGCAAAAGCCCCCGCCCCATCTTGTTCCACTGGTGCAGGAGGAGGACAGACTGCCTGGGGGCATATGGGGACGCTGAGGCGCCCCCACCCTTCAGCTGCCCGAGGGACTGGGCCTGGTCTGAGCCGGATACTTCGACTTAGCTGTAAAAAAGCTCTGCAAACGCACATTCCTGAGGCTGGCCACACCCCTCAGCTGAGTGGGACTCTGAGAACATTCCTGAGCTTGTGGCCGCCCCTGCCCCCCGAGGGAGGCCCCCCACCCGGTGTGGGTGCTAGGCCTGGCTGTCCTCCGATGCTCAGCCTGCAGGCTGGGCAGGGCCAGAGGCCAAAGGACCAGGCATCCTAGACACTGTTCACGACAGCTGCAAGCGCTTCTGAGTCTCACTGAGCCCATTGGGTCCAGTTTATCCATGGGGAACCCCACTGCAACTGTCTGTGCAGACGGGGAGCAGAGGGCAAGGGAGCCCCCCGGGGCACACAGCCAGGAAGCCCCAGAACGAGCTCCTGCCTCCCACGCAGCTGCAGGGTGTTGTCAGCCTGAGTCCCTCTGTGCAGCGTCTTCAGAGCTGCAGCAGCCGGGTAGTCAGCCGCCGCCACGTGCACTTGGCAGAGACTTCAGGCACGCAGCAGAGTGGGAGAGCTTTATTGCTGTGTCTTACGTATGTGTTCATTGTTACTGTGTACTGACAATGTTGCATTGTAGTATATGACATATACCTTTGTTGTTATTACATACATGTGCTATTACATGCAAGTATATAACACTTGCAGTACACATGTATATTATGACATGTTGCCATGTGCATGTCATACCACATACATGGAACACCTGCAGTACATATATGCATATATAATATGTTAACTGTTATGGTGTATGTAACATCTGCAGTACTTATACATATATAACTTACATTGTTGCTGTGTGTATGTGTTATACCCCATGTATATGACATATACCTTTAGTACACATTATATATGTTAATTCTTTCTGTTTACATATATATACTTGTATATAATATATTCCTGAGGTACATACATGTATTATATATGTCAATTGTTACTGTGTACATAGCATTAAAAAAATGTTAATAGTTGCTGTCTACATATAAAATGTGTATATATTTACAGTATACATATATTACATAATTTTAATTGTTGCTGTGTACATTATACATGTATATGACACATGTATACATATTATGTAAATTAAACTATACCATTTCTATATATAGAAAGCTTCTTTATAGAGAAAAAGGGGACCCCTGGGTGCCCCGATGAGGGCTGGGGAAGCTGGAAGGCCCACATGATGGCTGGGGGAATGGTGCGGCTTCCTCTAGTTGGTCCTAAATTGAGAGTGGGGACAACAATTCTGGGATTATGGGCTGTCAGTCCCTGGCCAGGCCCCAGCTGCCTGGAGTGAGGGCTCGGTGCTGTAGTCGGGTTCCCTGGGCTGGTTGCTGCAGATAGCGGGCTGCCTTCCTGCACGTGGGCCGTGGGCGTGCGGCCTGCTTCCGGGGCTGGTTCCCTCTGATGGCGGCCCAGCTTCCTGCAGTGGGTGCCGCTGCTTGTGGGTCAGAGTTCTGTCTTCACGTGCCGTCTGGCCATTGTCTGTACATTCAGTCTCATCCTGAAAGGCAGTTGGAACATTTCCAGGGAGTCATTCTCGGCCCAGGACCTGACCATGACCAGGTGGGCCCTGGATGAGGTCAGCCTAGTGGGCATCACAGAGGGAGAAAAGCTGCCTCCACCCCAACCACCAGGTCCCCAGCTGGGCTCACTGTCTTAGCTGGACTCCCCTGCCCACGCTTGCTGCCCCACATGGTGCCCGCTGGGGCCTGACCCCCTTATACTGTACTGCATGGCCCAGGACCCAGAGCATGGCACCAGAGCACACAGCAAAGGGTGCTTCACGGGCAGGTGGGCAGAGGGGACTGCTCACCTCCTGCGGTGGTCCCACCCCCATCCCCACAGACCAAGAGGGCCCTGTAGGTGGAGTTTTGGGGGAGTGAGCCCATGGCCCCAGGGACAGGCTGGGCAGTGCCAGGCAGGCAGATTTAGGCAATGCTGGCTGTCACCAAGAGGTGTTTTTTCTGCATCTTAGGACCCCTGGGCACCTGGCTGGAGAGGACACTGGGATGCCAGAGGCCTGGCCTGGGAGAGTCTGTGCTCCATCTACTCAGCCTGTGCCAAGGAAATAGGGACTCAGGCCAATGGGGGCGGGGAAGGGAGGGTAAGTTCTGGGTGCCGCCCACGGTGGGTGGCAGTGTATTCAGAGGCCTGTGTGCCATGCTCTTCATGGTGGTGGGAGCAGCCGCACCCCTGCCACCAAGAAGCTGCCCAAGAGGGACCGGGGCCCACTGGCATCAGGCAGCTCCGTGACCAGCAATAATGAGAAGCCAGGAGAGCATGAGGGGCTGCCAGAGGCAGGGCCTGGACTGGGTGGGCAGCGGCAGCCGGAAGGTCTTACGCATCTGGGTGAGTGGACAGTGGAGGGGTGCCCAGATGCCCGGGAGGGTAGATGCAACTATGGGGTCACAGGGAGGCTCCAGGCTGCCCCCTGACCAAGGCTGCAGAGCCCTGGGGGAGGGCTGACAGACACCCAGCATCCTCCTCACAGCCTGTGGGGGCACCCACAGCCCCTCAGGTTGCTCCCGGCAGGCCGATGCTGGAGGTTCGGGTGAGGAAGCTGAGGCTTGGGCAGGACAGGACAAGTGACTCTCCAGGGTCGCAGGTGAGGGTCAGAGCTGGGGCCCACGGAGGCCGGAGCCCTCCCTCCCTTCGGCCAGGCTGGCCCCACAGGGCAGCTGGCCAGGTGGGAGGATGGAGGCTGGACTCCTTTGTGGGGCCACTGCACAGGGGGTGCTGCTGGAACGCCAGGCTGTTCCCTGTGCTCCTGGCGGGCGGGGACTGGGCCCCGGAAGCCTGAGGGAGGCTGCCTAAGGCACTCGCGAAGGCACGGGGAGCGGCGCCTCCAGGGCGACGGCAGCAGGGGCCGGGGACCCGGACCCAGGCTTGGCACAGGCACCTGGGCCCTCGTCCCCTCTTGCTCTGACTCCTGCATCACCTCAGGTGGCCCCTGGGGTCTCTCTTCTAACTCACCAAGTCTGCAGCCCTTAGAGTAAAGCCAAGCTGGGCGTCCGGCATGTCAGACTCCGGGCTACCCTCTCTCTGGCTGGGGTCCAGTCCCACTCGGGTCCACTGTCTTCAGCCCTGGGGCTCTGGGCATGGGACCTGGCTTCTCGAGGTGCCACCTGTCTCTCCTGTAAGGTGGGGGGACGCTGAGGGCAGTGGCGGGGCGTGAGGCACAGTGGCATCACTCTACCCTGCTCCTCAGGCCTTCCTCCCAGGGGCTCCTGCTGCCCTTCTTAGATACTAAATATAAGAGCCGAGCCATACATGGGCGCAGGAGAGTCTGGGCTGCCCCTGACCTTTGAGGCCAGGCCCCAGAGGATGTGGGTGGGGACAGCGTCATGGCAGAGGGCCCCAGGGAGGGGGCACAGCCGCCTGTACTGTTCTGTGTTGGGTAAAGGTGTGTTGGGGGGGCACTCTGGGTGGGGGTCACACATGTTGTAAATGAGTCTGGGTAAATCTACACATGCCAAGGGCCCACAGGAGCCAGGGCCCGGCAGGGCTGCCGCCCACTGGGGCCCTGTTCTTGCCAGGAATTGGATGGGCACTGGGCGTGACCCCGTTAGCCCTCTTCCCAGCTGCAGCCCAGGAGTGCCAGGGTCTGGAATTGTGTGCATCCTATTGACCCCATTTGACCCTGACCGCTGGGTTAGGGAAGTGCTCGGGAGCCCCAGAGATGCCATTCTGTTGCATCACCCCCAGTGGGCAGTGGTGTTCCTGCCGGTGTAGCCACCTCAAGGTCCTCTTGCGGACAGCGGGGCGGAGCCAGTGCCTCCTCGGTTGCTATGGCGATTCAGTGAGGATCACCTGGCACAGAGGAAGCCTGTGGGCTGTGGGGTTGCAGCAGCCCTTGAGGGACGAGGGTTTGCCAGCACGTGTGTGAGCGGGAAGCGCGGTGAATCGTTGGGTGGGGTGCCGAGGCAGAGGACACCACGCGCTGGCAGGGGCCCCAGCCGCGCCCTGGCCTCTCAGCCTCTGGGCCACCACCGTCCTCCGCCCGGCTGCCCGCTGATGCTCACTCATCTCTCTCTGGCCCCGCAGTTCAGCAGGATGTCGGTGAAGGAGGGGGCGCAGCGCAAGTGGGCGGCGCTGAAGGAGAAGCTGGGGCCGCAGGACTCGGACCCCACGGAGGCCAACCTGGAGAGCGCCGACCCCGAGCTGTGCATCCGGCTGCTGCAGATGCCCTCCGTGGTCAACTACTCGGGCCTGCGCAAGCGGCTGGAGAGCAGCGACGGTGGCTGGATGGTGCAGTTCCTGGAGCAGAGCGGCCTGGACCTGCTGCTCGAGGCCCTGGCGCGCCTGTCCGGCCGCGGCGTGCCCCGCATCGCCGACGCCCTGCTGCAACTCACCTGTGTCAGCTGTGTGCGTGCCGTCATGAACTCGCAACAGGGCATCGAGTATATCCTCAGCAACCAGGCCTACGTGCGCCAGCTCTCCCAGGGTGAGCCCCGGGTGGCGGTGGGCAGTGGGCTGGGCCGAGACAGACCTGGGAGACTGAGGCTCCGGGCTGGAGAGTCAGCAGGAGGACTGGAGACACAGGACAAAGCTCTGCTGGGCAGGCAGGGAGGGCTTCCTGGAGGAGTAGCCAGTTTCCTGTTCACCCCAAGTCTGAGACCTCCAGGTCCCTTTGGAGCCACCCCTCCAGCACCTGCACCAAGTTGTCCCTCTGTTCTGTGACTTTTCCTGCCTTCCTGCCCTGCCCCCTCCCCTGTCTCTGACCTCGAGGTCCCTGTCCATGCCAGGCAGCCAGTCACCTGGGTCAGAATCACAGGTCTGCCCAAGGAGGCCCGCCTCACACTGCCTGGCTCCAGGCCACTCAGCCTTAGCCTGGCTGCAGCCCTTGAGGTCTGGCTGGCACCTGTTAGGGCTTCATTCTCCACCCCTCCCTGCCCTGTCCTCTGCTCCGGCCACCAGGGGTCTTCTTCCCAGCTGCCAGCCCCCAGCCTGCACCTACCTCCTGCATAGGCTGCCCTCTGCCTTTGTGTCCCTGCAGAGATCTGCTTATGCCCTGAGCTCCCGCTCACTGTCACCTCCTCCAGGAAGTCTCCTCAGGCTGTGCTAAATTAGGCATCAACCCTTGAGAAAGACTTCAGGTGGCCTTTGGTGGGCAGTGGGCAGTAGTGGGCAGTGTGTCCCTTGCCTGCCATGGTATGCTGCTTTGTGGCAGCGACCCAGTCTCACTGATGCTTGGGGTTCCAGGGCAGGCAGGGACAGGCAGGCTGGCCTGTGGGGGTGGTCGAGCCAGAGGCTGCCTCCTTCCTGTCTGACTGGCCCAGGCCTGGCTCTGCCCTCTGCAGAGTCCTCTGGGACGTGTTATCTGCAGGGCCAGCCAAGGGACACCCGCAAAGCCCTCCTAGCCCAGGATGAGGTGGGAGGTGGGGGCTCGTGAGGACAAGGGGGCACCACAGGCTGTCCATCATCCATGGCTGGTGCTGAGCTTGGTGAGGCACAGACCCAGCTGGGGAGGTGTGCCCACGCAGGCCCAGAGCCCTCAGGCCCTGTCAGAGAGCCGGCCTGAGAACCCTGCCTCCAAGCCCCTCCCTACGAGGTCTGCTGGGATGCTGGAGGCAGGTCAGCCTCTGGAGGGCCAGCACCTTATGTGGGCAGTGGGCCTGTGCAGGGGCGCCCCTTGGTGTCTGCTCCCACCCCACTTTCCCGGCTCAAGTGGGAGTCCAGAGCTGGGCACAGGTCTGGGAATTGCGGAAAGGAGGAGGATGAGCCCCATCTGGGACTCTGGGCCCCCTGAGATTGCCCCGGCCTTTGGCAGCTCTGGACACATCCAACGTGATGGTCAAGAAGCAGGTGTTTGAGCTGCTGGCTGCCCTGTGCATCTACTCGCCCGAGGGCCACATGCTGGCCCTGGATGCTCTAGACCACTACAAGGTGAGCCTGGGGTGAGCCTGGGGCCTGGGCGGGGCCTGAGCCACACACTGACCCCTGTCCGCCCCTCAGACGGTGGGCAGCCAGCAGTACCGCTTCAGTGTCGTCCTGAACGAGCTCGCGGACAGCGACAATGTGCCCTACCTGGTCACGCTGCTCAGTGTGGTCAACGCCGTCATCCTGGGCCCTGAGGACCTCCGTGCACGTGCCCAGCTGCGCAGCGAGTTCATCGGTGACCACCCGCCAGCCCGTCCTGCCAGCCCTGCTGCGCCCGACCCCCCTGTTGCCTTGGTGGACTGGGCCTTTGGGTCTCCTGGATGTTAGCCCCAGGGGCTCTCAGTGTTAGGCTGGCTGGGCAGGAAGGGAGGCGGGTGACCGGACCTCCAGTTCCAGCCCTGCCAGTCATGGATGTGACCATTAATGGGCACCACTGTGTGTCCAGCATGATGTCTGCCCTCCAGAGAGACCCTGGCATCCTGCCCCACCCCATGGGCTGGGTGCTTTGTGTGGTGGGAGTAAGTCCAGGGAGGTGGAGGGGAGGGGTGCTAGCCAGAGCAGCCGCTGGGCCCCTTCACCCCATCTGTCCCTCTGCAGGACTGCAGCTGCTGGACGTTCTGACACGGCTGCGGTGAGTCCCCACTCGCTGCTCCCAGAGCCAGGCCTACCTTCCCCTTGGGTCCCAAGCAATGCCTCCGGATGACCAGGGAGGGGAGTGCCAGGAGACCCAGGGGGCCCGCCCCTCCTGGAGCCAGGTCCCCTTGAGAGCCCAGCTTTCAGCCTCTTGTGCCGCTGGACAGGCCACTCAGTGGAGTCCCCCCGCCTGGGGACTCGGTGACTGCCCCTGGAAACTCCAGGCACAACACAGAGAACGACCACCTTTAGTACAAGTACATGCCAGACACTGGGTGGAATACGCTTATGCTAAAAATCACTTGTTTATCTGAAACTCAAATTCGGTCGGGTACCCAGAGGCTGAGAACCCCCATGCCTGGCCTCATATCCAGGGACGGCAGCTGGGGGTGGGCCTGGAGGAGGAGCCTGAGGCTGGCGCACAGGCGCTGAGCCGGCCTCAAGCAAAGGTTTGCAGGTGCCAGGTGGGTCGCCCTGTCACTGAGGGTCCAGCTCATCGGCCAGGCTGAGATGACCAGCAGGGCCCATGCTCAGTGGGTGCTCAAGTGCGGGCCAGATGCCCTGCACTCCACCCTAGGCCTCTTGGGGCTGCTCTTAGTGCCACCCTCCCAGCACCCAAGGAGGGCCTTCTGGGCCACCTTCCCTTTCTGGGCCACATCTCGTGAGAAGGAATGCTCTCCCCCTTCCCAAGGGGTGTGGGGCTGCCAGCTGACTGTAGGCCTGTGAGCCCGCTGCCCCTAACAGAAAGGCCAGCCTGGACAGACCACAGCTGCCCCCAGCAGTGCAGCACGTGTCAGCCACGGGCTGGGCTTAGGGCCGTCTGGGGGTCTGTCCAGGGTCTGGGAGGCCGGTGGGAGCAGCAGGGCTTAGCCTGGCCCGGCCCCTCCGACCCCAGGGACCTGGACGATGCCGACCTGCTGATCCAGCTGCAGGCCTTCGAGGAGGCCAGGGCTGAGGACGAGGAGGAGCTGCTGCGTGTCTGCGGCGGCATCGACATGAACAGCCACCAGGAGGTCTTCGCCTCCGTGTTTCACAAGGTGGGCCGGCGGGGAGGAGGGGGCTGTGGGCGCCGTGGGCCGAGGTCTGGGGCTTGGGAACAGCCTGCCTCGGCCAGAGCCCGCCGGGACCCCGGGGCAGCAGGGCCTGGTCTGGAGCCACACTGGGGGGCAGCAAGGGGCTGGGGCGGAGAGAGGAGGAGCTGGGGGCCAGCGGCCTGAGGGCTGGTCTGGGCTGTGGTGGGGACAGAGCTGGGCACAGGACCCGGAAGGACAGGGCCGCAAAGGCCAAGGCTGCCCGGAGGTGGCTGCGCTGCCCTGGGCCCCATGCACTGGCCACTGTCAGATGGACCGAGGGCCTCCCTGGCTGGGACCTCTCATCCTTCGCTGAGCCCCCAGCTCTCAGCCAGGGGCTGGTGCCCCCAGGGGGCATCCAGGAGATATTGCATCAGGTGGGCAGAGACCAGGGATCGCCAAGTAGCCCACCATGCCCAGGGTGGCCACGCCAGGGAGGATGGTTCAGCCCCAAATGCCCCAGTGTGCAGGCTGGGGAGCCCTGAGTGGCTCATCCCCAGGGCTCTTCCACAGCACGCCCAGTGTTGACGGGGTGGGCGGCCCTGGTAAACTGAGGCTGGCACCTCTCCTGACCCTGACCCTCACCCTCCCGGCCCAGGTGAGCTGCTCCCCAGCATCTGCCCAGCTGCTGTCCATGCTGCAGGGCCTCCTGTACCTGGAGCCCACCCGCCCGTCCTGCCAGCTGCTCTGGGAGGCTCTGGAGGGCCTGGTGAACCGGGCCGTGCTCCTGGCCAGTGACAGTGAGCAGACAGGCGGGGAGGAGGCGCCCTGCCCGGGGACCCCCGCCCCTCCCTGACCCAGACTGGTGGGCAGGCACTGGGGTCTCAGACTGTGGGTGGCGGGTGTCCATCCTTGACTCCTGACCTGCCCTGTGCCTTTCCCGCCGTCCCCTGCCGGCCTCCTGTGGCCCTCTGCCTTGACCGTGATGTCCCCTCCACAGCCCAGGAATGCACCCTAGAGGAGGTGACCGAGCGGCTCCTGTCTGTCAAGGGGCAGCCCCGGCCCAGCTCCCTGAACAAAGCCCACAAGAGTGTCCAGGCTGATCTAGGCCAGAGTCGGGGCAGCTCCCCCCAGAATACTGGTGCCCCAAAGGCAGGGGTAGAAGGTCGGCAGCCAGCCACAGCCCTCGCCTCCCAGCCCGTGGTCAGCATGCAGAGTGGGAGCCACGTGACAGCTCCACAACCAGCAGCCCTGGAGCAGCGGGCAGCCCCCCCACCCCCGCCTGCACCCCCACTCCCCGGCTCCCCGACTGTGCCCCCCCCTCCTCCACCTCCACCCCTGCCAGGCCTGGGGATGTCATTTTCTCCACCCCCCCCATTGCCTGGCTCTTCTGGGACCTCACCCCCGCCACCTCCACCGCTCCCCGGCACAGGGTGCCTCCCTCCACCCCCACCCCTGCCAGGCTCCAGCCCCCCTGCAATGGGTGCCATGGAAGAGATCATCGTGGCCCAGGTGGACCATAGCCTGGGGTCCGCCTGGGTCCCAGTCCACCGGCGGGTAAACCCACCCACACTGCGTATGAAGAAGCTGAACTGGCAGAAGCTGCCATCCAACGTGGCCCGAGGTGAGGACCCCCGATTCCCTGACGTGCCTCACCCACTCATAGCTTCCCTCCGGGGGCAGGGGACTGGGCCCTGATTGGTAGAGTGGCAGGTGGGTATGCACTGTGAGGCTGGCACCTTGGGCTACCAAGACCCAGGCTGGAGCCCCCACCACTACATATGGGCCAGGTGCTTGTTGTCCTGGGGCTGTGGTGCCAATGCCAGGAAAGCCAAGGTAGCTGGCAGCCAGGTCGCTTGCGGCCTGGACACAGGCGTGTGCATGCATGAGCGTGACAGCAGCCGGAGGGCTCCCTCCACGGGGCCTGCCCGCCCTTGGGTCCCTGGCAGGCACGGGCCTGACACGTGTTGAATCCACAGAGCACAGCTCCATGTGGGCCCTGCTGAGCAGCCCGGACGCCGACCTGGTGGAGCCCGACTTCTCCCAGATCGAGCAGCTCTTCTCCTTCCCCGAGGCCAAGCCCAAGGGGGCAGCTGCAGCCCCGGCCAGGAGGGAGCCCAGGGAGGTGGGGCCAGGTCGCGGGTCAGACGGGGGCTCCGTGCGGCCTTCCATGTCCCCGACCAACAGGCTGTGATGTTTTCCAGATCACATTCCTGGACCCCAAGAAGAGTCTGAACCTCAACATCTTCCTGAAGCAGTTTAAATGGTGGGCACTCAGGACCCAGGAAGGGCCCCTCTCAGGCAGCCCCTCCTGCCAAGGGCCGCACCCCTCCCCCGCCTCTCTTGGGTTTGGCAGTGCCCTCTGCAGGCCATCCCTGGGAAGTGCACATGCTATCCTGGGAGCAGGAGACTGTGGGCCCCAGCTGGGGGCTCCGGGACCACCACACCCGACTCCATGGGGAAACTGAGCCCCAGAGAGTGGCTGGGACCCCTGAGGCCCCAGACAGGTGGTGGCCAAGCCAGGGTGGGGACCTGGCCCTTCCTCTCAGGCCCCAGGTCCTTCTCTGCAGGGGTCAGGTTGGCCTCTGCCCTTGAGCCATCCCGCCTGTGCCTTGAGCAGCCCCGAGAGGCGCTCTGGCAGATGGGGAGCGCGTTGTTCAGCCCCCAGCTGCATTACCGTATGGCCCCGGGCAGGGGGCTGGCCCTCCAGCAGCCCACGCGCCCCTCCACCCCAAAATTCGTGGGTGCCAGCGCAGCCCCCGGTGTGACCAGCAGAGGTGCTGTGAGCTGAGAGCTGTCCCTGACGGTCAGGGTCCCGAGGACGTCAGGTGGGGCGACCCATGCCCCTCCCACCCCACACACATCCTCACCCTCTCCAGCTCCAACGAGGAGGTCACCACTATGATCCGGGCTGGGGATACCACCAGGTTTGACGTGGAGGTCCTCAAACAGCTCCTCAAGCTCCTTCCTGAGAAGCACGAGGTGAGTGGGGAAGAAGGACATGCTGACCCTTCCCTGGGGACCCCCAGTGGGGAAGCGGTCCCAGACCTCCCCCCACCCTGCCGCTGAGGGTCCACCGGGCAGCCGAGGGGATGGGAAGTTGGAATCCTACACGTGGGCCTGCTTCCTGCAGATTGAGAACCTGCGCTCCTTCAGGGACGATCAGGCCAAGCTAGCCAGCGCTGACCGGTTCTACCTCCTCCTGCTGGGCATCCCCTGGTAAGCCCGCCAGCCCTCAGACTGGGCCCGCTGGTGGGGAAGGGGCCCCGACCTGGAGGAAAGAGCAGGGCTGTGTGCGCCGTTGCCCCGGGGCTCCGTGGGGACCACAGCAAACGTCGCCATGTGCCCCCGGCCCTGCCTCTCCAAGGGACCCACAGCAGCATGGGGAGTGGGCAGCAGTCAGGCTGGCCCAGGCCCCCTTGGGCATGTCTAGAGAAGGCACCCACCTGTTCTGGGAGGGAAGGGTGCCTCACAGGGAGGTGAGCCCCTGAGTCTACAGCACCCGGGTACTTGTCTGAAATGCCCCTTCCTGAGCGCTACCCAGTCCTGCTGAGTCACCTCTGGAGCACGTTGGGTAGGGACAGGCCATAGGACCCTCACCTGCCTGCACAGTGCAGTCATAAGGCAGGCAGTGGGCGCCCGGCCTCTGACCTCTGCTCTGCCCCACAGCTACCAGCTGCGGGTGGAGTGCATGCTGCTGTGTGAGGGCACGGCCGTCATGCTGGACATGCTGCAGCCCAAGGCCCAGCTGGTGCTCGCCGCCTGCAATAGTGAGTGGGCTCAGAACCTGCGGGCCCAGCATCAGGGGCCCCACTGCATGGGTGTGCAAGCTGCTGACAGGCCTGCTGACGCTGGCCCCACCTCACCATAGACTATCGCCCCTGCTCTGAGATGCGCTGCACTTGCACGTTCATGCGTGAATACAGACACGTGGCACTCACACATACAGACGTGTGCACACACCCACACTTGCTCACACAGTCACAGGCACACATACACTCCTTTTCCTAGCACAGTGTCAGTGGGGACATGCCTGACCACCGAGGCACAGCTCACTTCTGCTGGGGACACATGTAGTGGACGTCCACTCCTGTGTCTGTCGCAGAGCTGGAAGAACTGCCTTCCCCAAAGCCCCAAGGCCTGGTCAGCTGAGAACCAGAGTGGCTGCAGGTCCTCAGAGGCCTCGCCTGCCCAGTCAGTGGGGCGGTGGCCATTTGCCCCCGGGGTCATGAGGGTTCAGTGAGCATTTACGCTGGGGAGACATGCTTCCAGACCCCTAAGCTTGTCTCTGGTGGGGTTACTGCCACCCTGCCCACCCCAGGGTGAGCCTGAGGGGGCGCCCAGGGCAGGGAGTCAAGGAACGCCATTCGTGGACAGGACCCCAGGCCAGGCCCATGGAGGCCTTGCACCACCAGCGGCCCCCTCAGCCCCGGCCCCTCCCACAGGCCTGCTCACCAGCCACCAGCTGCCTGTCTTCTGCCAGCTGATCCTGCAAATTGGAAACTTCCTCAACTACGTAAGTGGGCTGTGCCCATCCTGCCCTCGCCCTCCCTGGAGGCTGGAGACCCACTCCCCATCCCTCACAGGGCAGCCACACTGGGGACGCCGACGGCTTCAAGATCAGCACGCTGCTGAAGCTCACGGAGACCAAGTCCCAGCAGGGCCGCGTGACACTACTGCATCACCTGCTGGAGGTGGGTGCTCCGGCCCGTAGGACAGGCCCCTGGGCTCTGCCCTGCTCAGGCGCCCACAGGCCCTCCTCCAGCTCCCATCCAGGCCCAAGGGGAGGACTCGGAGGCCCAGAGAGGGAGGCCTTTTGGGGGTCATGAGCCTTCGCTGCTGAGGGCACAGGTTACAGGGTGGGGTGAGCTCGGGAATCCCCAGGGCGGGTGTGGCCACCACAGATCTCACTGGACACGTCCTGTTGCAGGAGGTGGAGAAGAGCCACCCGGACCTCCTGCAGCTGCCCCGGGACCTGGAGCAGCCCTCCCGGGCGGCAGGGTAGGCACTCCTGGCCCAGCCCCACCGCCCTGCCCGCACCAGGGCCTGCCCCTCTGGCCCCAGCCAGTAAGGTGGTTGGACCAGGCCGCAGCACATGCCCAGACCCCCAGGAACTGCTGCCTGATAGACACTTTCTTTCCTCTGGGGGTTGGACTTTGCTTCCACCCTGGGCGGTCCCACATGACTCAGACGGGGAGACTGAGGCCTCAAGGGGCAGGGAGCCCTCTGATCACAGTCACAGAGAGTCCGGCCTTTTTACAAGGACACTCTCATAACAGCCCATGAGCAAAGCCATGCCGCCCCATTGTATCGGGGAGGAGACCAAGGTTGAGGGAAGCAGGGCCATGTCCGTGGGGTCACTCGGCCTGGGGACGCAGCTGTGGAAGAGCAGCCCGAGCCGTGCAGCTCCAGGATCCGTGCCGCCATAGACGGGCTCAGGCCTGGGAGCTGCTGGATCCCATGGAGGGCCAGGCAAAGCCAGGCTGAGCCGTGGGGTCCCTGTCCCGATGCTCCAGGCCCAGCACCCGGCTGAGCCGTGGGGTCCCTGTCCCGATGCTCCAGGCCCAGCACCCGGCTGAGCCGTGGGGTCCCTGTCCCGATGCTCCAGGCCCTGCACCCGGCTGAGCCGTGGGGTCCCTGTCCCGATGCTCCAGGCCCTGCACCCGGCTGAGCCGTGGGGTCCCTGTCCCGATGCTCCAGGCCCTGCACCTGGCTGAGCTGTGGGGTCCCTGTCCCGATGCTCCAGGCCCAGCACCTGCCGTGGGGGACACTTCACTCCCTGCACTGCTCAGCTCACCTCAAAGTTCCGATATGCTTCTGGCAACCTGCGGGTGTGCAGGTCTAGGGCCGCTGTCCCAGCAAGGCTGGTCATCAGCTGTCACCTGATCCTGCTTGGCCCTCTGGTACCATTCAGGATCAACCTGGAGATCATCCGCTCAGAGTCCAGTACCAACCTGAAGAAGCTTCTGGAGATGGAGCAGAGGGTGACCTCGTCCGTCCCCGAGGTGCAGGAGCAGTACGGCGAGCGCCTGCAGGCAAGCACCAGGCGGGCAGGGTCCTGGGCTGGGCAGACAGCTGCCTGCTAGTCTCCAGAAAGGAGGGCCTCTCCAGGGCCTAGGTGTCTCCCAGGCCTGGGGTCTGCAAGGTAGGAGAGCGACCCGGGGGGGGGTGGGGGGCGCAGGTGAGCACGGGAAAGCAGAGGGCCAGAGTGCAGGCCCCCCACGGAGGGCGGCCCTGCCGTTCCCAAGGTGGCTCCTGCAGGTGAGGGGCCTCCCTTGATCCTGGGGGCTGCAGTGCCCAGGCCCCTAGTCCTGAGCAGAGGTGCTGTCATCCTCCTGTCCCCAGGGGCCCCACCCCAACCCTGGGCTCCAGCCTGGACAGGTGTCCTGTGATAGCGAGTGGCACGCAGTCTGGGGGGGCTGTGACCACAGACCTGTGCCCCCAGACCAGCATTGCGGCCTCCCAGGCACTGGACAAGGTGCTCCAGGCCATCGAGCAGAAGAAACAGGAACTGGCCAGCTACCTGTGTGAGGACGCCCAGCAGCTGTCCCTGGAGGACACGTTCAGCACCATGAAGGCTTTCCGGGACCTCTTCATCCGCGCCCTGAAGGTGGGCAGGCCACGGGGGGCAGGCGGGGCCTCTCCTCAGTGCCAGGCGCAGCCAGTCGAGCGATGGCGGGCACGGTGTCACGGGGCCCGTGTCTGCCCCGCGCAGGAGAACAAGGACCGGAAGGAGCAGGCGGTGAAGGCCGAGAAGAGGAAGCAGCAGCTGGCACGGGAGGAGGCGCGGAGGCCTCGGGGCGAGGATGGCACGCCCGGTAAGGAGAGGCCCGTGGGGGAGCTGGCTGGGGAGACCCGGGCGGGGCGGGCCGCCTTTGGGCTTCAGCGTCCCTCCCCAAAAGCCTTGCTGTGCTGCCCACTGAGGCCCCTCCCCGCTCCAGGCCGCCTGGGTGGGCCCCAGGGCTCCCGTGGGCAGCATCCCTGAGGGTCCCCGGGGCTTCTCAGGCAGGAAGGGCGGCGGCAAGCCGGAGGAGGTATGTGTCATCGACGCCCTGCTGGCCGACATCAGGAAGGGCTTCCAGCTGCGGAAGACGGCACGGGGCCGAGGCGACACGGAGTGGGGCAGCAAGGCCGCGCCCCCAGACACCCTGAGGAGCAAGGCACCTGGTGAGGCTGCGCCCACCTCGTCACTGCCCCCTTCTGCTGCGACTCCCTGTTACCGTCCTTGTGGCCCCACACCTCCCTTCCTCCAGGAAGCCCTCCCTCACCTCACAGCGGAGCCCTGAGTGATGGGACGGCCCGAGGACGGGCGAGAGGGCAGTCAACCCTGGTGATGCCTCCACATGTCTCTGAGGCAGCAAAGGGCTCCTGGCTGGTGTGGGTTGCGGGAGAGACAAGCAGGCCCTGACGGATGCCCCTGGGGCTCACAGGTGGTGGGAGAGGCAGGCAGGGGGCCCTGCAAGGGGCCCTCCACCCTGCAGCTGCTGGGGTGCTCTGGGCATGAGGTGGTGTATGCCGCCACCTTGGGCCCAGTATCCCCTGCCCTCCTGCGCTGTGGACAGGCCAGAGGCACCAAGATCTGGACCCACCCCGTGGGAACTGCACTGGGAGGCCACCAGGGAAGGCTCCCAGAGGGAGGGGGCTTTGCACAGCTGGCAGCACTCAGAGAGAAGCTGAGATGGAGGGAGACCCCCACCTGGGTACATCCTGGGCAGGGCACCGTGGAAAGGGCTCAGGGGCAGGCCACTGCCCCTCAGTGACATGTCTCCTGTGTCCCCAGCAGCCGCGAGTGACCCCCGAGGAGGCCTCACGGGAGGCACCAGCTGCCCCACCTCTGAGCCTGTTCTGGGCTCTGCAGTGGCTGGGCAGCCCCCAAGCTGGGACCTTATGGACGCCACCACCCCCAGCCCTCAGCCCACCAGAGACGGGCCAGAGGAGGGCAGGCCTGGGCCCCTAGAGAGGTGCTCTTCCTGGTACATCGATGCCACTGACGTCCTGACCGCAGAGGACCCCCAGGGTGTCCGGCCCTCTGCAGGGGCCTGGCCGGTGGTGCTGGAAGACACCCAGGCCCTGAAGCCCCTCAAGTTCTCCGGTGACAAGCCCCCTGGGGCCACAGGTTCCAGCCAAGACACCAAGGGCCCCGCAGCCCCACAAGGCGTCCGCCAGGCCGAGGCCGACCGCGCAGGCGAGGGTCCGGAGTGTGCCGCTCCGTGTGGCCCCGGCAGGGGTGGAGACAGGGACGAGGAGGACACAGCCCCAGATTCTGCGCTGGACACATCTCTGGACAGGTCTTTCTCCGAGGACGCCGTGACTGACTCCTCAGGGTCCAGCCCTCTCCCGAGGGCCCAGGGCCGCGCCTCAAAGGGGGGGGCCGGCAAGAGAAGGAAGAGACGCCCCCCAAAGAGACAGGAAGGTAAGTCCGGGCTCCCCGCGGCCCCCGGTGCCCTTGAAGCCGGAGTGTGGGTGGGCGAGTCCGCGTGTGGTCGAGGCACGCCCTCGCTCTCCCCCTGGACCTCTCCCTGCGGCGGGCCCCTCCCCTTCCCCAGCAACAGTGAGCGATTCCAGAGCATCCGCATGTCCTGCAGGAGAGAGGGGGCAGTGCTTGGGAAGGGCAGCCTGGGGGACCACCACCCTCACTGCTGCCTCCTAAGCCACTGACTCCCGCCTCCTGTAGGGGTGGCAGGTGGGGCGCGCGCGCAGGGGCCTGGGCGCCGCCTGTCCTGGCTCAGCGTCTGTGTGGCCCTAGCACGGGGCGCCCAGCCCCCGCTCCAGGCTCAGGGTTGCTCATGAGCGACAAGCTGTTGAGTGCATTTCTTTTATTTGAAAGCAGAGGTTGCCCCTGACTCTGACGATAATAAAACAAAAAGCCTGTGTGTGACCCAGTAAGGTATGTACACAGCCTGGCGCTCTGCACTAATGGTGACAGCAGAGGCAGGGGCCTGCGCCCGGCCTCCTGGCCACTAACCTGTCTTCCTTCCTGCCCGCCTGTCTGCAAGCATCCCCGTCCTCCTGTGCTGCGGTGGTGGGACCCGCCTGCCCTCTGTCTTTTCCCTCCCTGGAAGGGCGGAAGCCACATCTCGCTTTGCTGGTGTACCCACTGTGCAAGGTGCAGCCTCAGCGCTGCCTGTTGGGCAAACAGGTTTCAGGGCGGGGTTAGAAAGACGAGCGTGGGCACCCTCGAGGGAGGAGGGCTCCAGGACCTGGCAGGACAGGCTGAGGTCACCCCTGTCCCAAGCAGTCTGGCTAATCCTGGACCTTTACTGACCCCAGGCTCCCCAGGGCACCTTTAGTCTGTCTCCTTAGGGCACATTCAGCCCTCCTCTGACCATGCATGTGCCCAAGGAGACAGGGGCCAGGATGGTCCCAGGAGCCGGCTGCCAGGGATAAGCGGGCAGCAGACTCCCCCCCCAAGGGGTACACAGGCCTCTCCCTGGAGGCCAGGTCCCAGAGACAGTGAGGGGGCCCCCATGGGTCCCCTGGGTGCAGCACTGGGCCTGCAGGGACTCTTGCCTGTGGTCTGAGAGGCTCACAGGTGGAGCCAGCAGACGGGCCTGGGGGAGCCTCGACGGTCGGGATTGTGCTGGGTGGAGGGGAGCCTAGTGCAGGGGACCTCTGGCCTTGCTCAGGGCTGCCCGGTGCCGACGGCCTGGGCCCGCGTCGTAGGAGCCAGGGCACAGAGGTGAGGTCCAGCCGGGGCCCAGTGGAGGCGGGCACAGGAGTGCACATTCCCCCGAGTTGACCCTCACAGCCAGCACAGCCCTGGTCCCGGGCTTTACTCCTGGGCCACTTTCCAAGCTTGGCTCCAGCGTGACACTGATGCCCGTTTGTTAGCACGGCGGTGGCGTGCCCCTTGGGCTGGGGTTGGCCATGCGGCCCTGGCCGGCTGCTGGCCCTGCAGGGAACAGTCTGGGTTTGGTGGCTGGCAGCCGTGGGTGGCCACTGTCTGGGGGAAGGTCCATGTGCCCAGTGTGGGTCTGTGCCGCCCTGACCCCACTGCAAGGAGGCAGCCCCCAGCGTGCAGGCACCTGGATCTGCGGGCAAGGGCTCATTGCCCTCTGGGCCCTGCTGCCCTGTGCCTGGGGGGAGGGGGTATGAATCCCACGCTGCTTGTCTCCCCAACTTTTTATTTAGAAAAGCTTCAACTGGCAGGAAATTTGCCAGGAGACCATAGTGAACACCACCTGTCTTCACCATGGAAAGGCAGAAACCTGGAAAAAATAGCAAAACTGTTAATATTTGTCACATTGCAGCCCCTCCCCAACATGACAGAGTGGTTTGAATGCTTGTAGACATCATGGCGCTTGGCCCAGGGTTCTTTTAAGGGCGAGGCTGCCCTCCTGCACGCCCAGGACAGTTCACTGGTCCTCTTCATAGTGTCGCTCTGGCATTTTGGAAGGGAGACCCCTCCTAGGGTGGCACACCCAGCCTCCTGTCTTTGACGGTGTCATGGGAGACGCTTTCACCGAGTCCTGCTGCTTCCCCACAATGGGCCCAAGGCTGCATTTTTGGGGCAGAGATTCTTCCCTCGTGACACCTGTCCTCCCCAGAGCATCACTGGGGCGGGGGGTGGGGGGCTCAGGGGCCCACTTGCTGCATGGGCAGTAACGATGCCTATCGAGTTGCTAAAGTGCTGATTTTGAGAGACCCCTGCTGCACAACACGGCATCACTACGGTTGGCAGGCAGCCCGTGAGTGACCACAGGGGGGTGCCTCCCAGTTTGCAGGACACTGCAAAATGGTGATTTCTGTTCCTCATTCCTTCCACAAACTTCCCCTTCTCCCCTCTTCTCCAAAGTGTGCAAGCCTCAAGTGTGTGCTGGTCCAAAACCCCCCTGGGCCAGCCGGGGCGGGCAGGGGGTGCACTGGCTTGTGCCCCCTCCAGTCCTTTCTTTGGCACAGCTGTGTGCAGGTGGCAGAGCCGTCATGGGACCCTGGTGCCCTCAGGACAGAGCTGGGGAAGGACAAGGAGGGGTCCAGCATGTGGGCCCACATGGGGGGGTGCGGATTGATGGGCAGAGCCCAGCGTGGGTCTGAGACCCGGGGAGCTGTAAGACCCCACCATCTCAGGTGAGGAAACATACCTTGTGAGACCTGCCTGGACGGGTAGACAGGAGCCAGCTTGCTGGGGGCATCCCGGCACTTAACCTGGATGAGCCTTGCTAGTCCAGAGAAAGGACTTGGAGTCAGAGTGGACCCAGGGACACACAGTGCAGCCCACTGGGCAGTGGCGCCAGGGACAGTGGGAGCCTAGGGGCCCAGACAGCACAGTGCCACTGTCCCCAGGACGGCTCCTAATGATGTCGTCCTCTCCTTCCCCACAGGCCCCAGGCCCAAAGCGAAGTGAGAGTGCCCACAGCTGGCCTCCACACGCAGCGAGCCGCTGGACATGCTGCTGAGCGGGGCTCCTCTGGGGCCAGGCTGAGACCGGGCCCCTGGGAAACCGAATCTCCGTGCCTTACCCAGCCAGGGACATCCTCTCAGCCTTCTTGGGGCATTGTGCCTGGGACCCCGCCTGGTGCCCTCATGACCGCCTGCATGCCCTCGGCCCCTCATGGTCTGCTTGCTGAACACCAACACCCAGGCCCACACTGGGGCACCCGCCGTGGGGCCGGGTCAGGTGGCTGTGTTCCTGGGGTGCCTGAAGCATGCTCCCCCATCTGGGGGCCTGGCACCCAGATTCTTTTGGAGACAGGCCCTCGCAGACCCCTCCCCATGAAGCCAGGCAGTGCAGAAGCCTCACTGCCCCCCTAAGGGCCCCACTCAGCTGGACTGGAGCAGACTGGTTTTTACCCAAAATATGTTTGTTTCTGCCTTTCTGCTGTCCTGTGATGGCTTAGCTGGGGACAGCTGGTCACGTGGGGGGGACCGAGGGCCTTGGGCGGGCCAGGGTCTTCCTCAGTGGGTTGGGGGGTTCCCACGGCCCCATCCCGCTGTGCCCAGCCCTGCACGGGGGAGGTGTAGGCCCTGGCTGCCAGACTCTGTAGCCAGGGCCTGGGCCCCCGCCTCCCCCGCCCCAGGTGTGTGCTGCCACGTGAAGGCTGGAGGGCTTTGACCAATAAAAAGCAAAGTTGGCCCAGCACGTGGCTGGTCGTGTGCAGAAGCTGCCGGCGAGTGGGATGGTGGCCTGCACGGTGCCTTGAGGCGCCCCACCACATGGGCAGATGGAGAGATGGATGGATGGACAGACGTGGAGGGAGGGAGAGGGGGTGGAGGGGCAGACAAAGGGCAGGGGGCCTGCCTGCTCCCACAGAGCACCTGGGGCAAGACGGGGAGATGGCAAAGCGGCTGCGTCATGCAATGAGCCCAGCTGGTGGGCAGGCAGGTTTGACCCAAGACACCCACCCTAAGTGTGTGACTGACGTGCCGGCAGGCTGACAGCAGGGTGCAGTCACCACTGTGACCCAGTTTCAGAACATTTCCCTCCTTCAGGAACATCCCCACAGCCTGTAGCAGACAGTCCCCATCCCCAGTCCCGCCTCCAGCCTGACCGGCCCCCGCTGCCTTCTGTCTATAGATGTGCCTCCTGTGGCCGCGTCACAGGCAGAGAAGCCTACCATCCACGGCCCTTTGTGACTGGCTTCTTCCAGTTAGCATGCTCTGGGGATTGCAGGGTGTCCGCACCACATCCCTTTTCACGGCCGAGTTGTGTTCTGCACCTGGACAGGCCACGCTCATCCATCCACACAGTGGCCAGTGGCATTTGGTTGGTAGCCCAGGAGCTGAGTGAACATCTGCACGTGGGGCTTAGCTTGGATGTGTTTTTGTTTCTTGGGCATAGGTTCCCACAAGCAGAATGGCTGGGCCATATGCTACAGTTATGCTTAACTTTTTAAGAAATTGCCAGACTGTTTTGCAAGGCGGCTGCACCATGTCCATCCCTGCCCCACACTTTCTCATCCAAGTGTGTGAGCGTGTATCTGTGACCTCGCCACTGTGTATGAGGGGTTTCCACGGTGAGGTGTGTGTGGCCCAGGGGTGGCTAAGCCCACGCACTCCCTGAGACCTTGCCCAAGGTCACACAGTGAGCACCCCACCCCCCCCAGCTCAGTCACCAGCCTGGTGACAGCCTGCTGTGCCTGGAAGCAGGGCAGGGGGTGTCCTGATTTGGCCTGGGCCACGTGACTGGCAGGGCCCCAGCTGTTGGGCCTGGTCAGGGCTGTTTATAGAAAAGCCCAACTCCCCCAGGCTATGGGCTATTTATAGGCCTGGGCTTGGGAGCGTTGGTGCCCCAGCCAGAGTTTGATCCCACAGAGTCCATCTAAATCCCCGTGGGTTCCCCCTGCTCCCCAAGCCCCCACCTCACATTGCTGGCCCAGGGCCCCAGTCTCCCCCAGGAAGGGCTCAGAACCAGAGCTCCCTCCCTAGGCCTGCAGCACAGCCGGTGGACAGAGGGGACAGCCCCTCAGTGAGGCAACTGGTGGGCATTCGAAAGGCCCAGCTTCTTTCACCTGGAAATGAGCAGAGAAGCCTCCCGCCTTGGCCCCCCTGCTCCTCATCTACGCAGCCAGCTCTTGTGCCCTGGGTTCCCTCCCGCCCCCTCACTCCTCAAGACCCCTAGCCGCCTGGCCACAGCCTCCTGGCTGCCAGCCCTCACTACACCCCATCCTCAGCCTGCTTGGCCGGGGCATTCAGAGCCACGCTCCAGCCCTCCTGTGCCCATCCAGCCACTCCCCAGGGCTCCTACCCTGGCAGGCTGTCCCCAAGGAGGGCCGCAGCCTGCCCCTCACACTGCTTGTAACCCACAGGGCATTTCCCCGCTGCAGAACTAGGGAAGGGAGCTGTGGGTGTCCCGTGTGGAAGAGGGCCTGGGCACAGAGGGCCCACGTGAACTGCCCAGGACCCCAGGAGAGGGGAGGGGGCGGTGGGCAGTACAGCCCTCTGCTGGGGCTCGGATTGTGTCTGTGAGTGACCTTTGTGTGACAAGTCCAGCACCCACTGCCTTCCTCCGGGGAATGTCTGGTCTCACTGCTCCAGAGCTCCAGGCGGCCCTCTGCGCCCTGGCCAGGGGTCAGTGGGTGGGATCTGGGCGGCATGGCACCTAGGGGGAGGGCCTAATATGGCACCCTCTCCCCAGAGGCCCACCCCTGGCCCCTTCTCCCTGCCACTAGCTGTGTCCACTTAGGCAGTGCTGGCTGGAAACACAGGAGGCCAGCAGACCATCGCTGCCCTCTCTGGACACCCAGTCTCTCCCAGGCTGGGGCAGAAGGAGGTCTGACACGGAGCCTCTTGGAGACTGGCTGCACCTGCTCCCTGACTCTCCGGGCCACCCTTACAGCACTGGTCCCTTCGCCCTGGACTCGGGCCCCGAGGACCAAGGGCAGCCCTGCTCCCAGATGGGGCCTGCCGGCTGGTACAACCAACAGGCAGGGCGCCAGCACCCGTGTGGGTAGGTGTTGGGAGGGGACACACTGCCCTCTCTGCCACCACCCGAGTTCATGTGTGCAGGTCCAGGGGACTGGGGCAGGTGTGCACCCTGGAGCGTCCCAGCCCTCCGGGTGACAAGGACGCAGCTCCCCTTTTGCAGACTTCTCTCCTGCCCTCGAGGGGAACCCCCCCCTGGCTTCTGGAGCCCCAGGGTCCTGGACGTGGCCTCAGCTGGCAGAATGACTTCACACCCCCAGCCCTGGGCGGGCAGCTTGAATGCCGCCATTAGCATCCAGGGGCGCCCCCGGCAGGCCTCGCAGGAGGGGCCCAGAGCGTGCCACCTGACCGTGCGACCCCGCGAAACGCTCGCGGCCCAGCTCTGCTCCCGGCGGCAGGGGAGGCGGAGGGGGGCGGGACCCCAAGGCCCAGAGGTCACCGAGGCGCGTCACTCCGCCCGCCGGGCCCGCCCCCGGCCCCCGCCCCTGCGGCTCCTTTTAATGGCGCGGCTGGCGGGCTCCCAGGCAGCCCGGCGCAGCGGAGGAGCCGAGCCGGCATGTCGGGGACCCGCGCCTCCAACGACCGGCCCCTCGGCACGGGCGGCGTCAAGCGGGGGCGGCTGCAGCAGGAGGCGGCGGCGAACGGCTCCCGGGTGACCGTGGTGCTGGGCGCACAGTGGGGAGACGAGGGCAAAGGCAAGGTGGTGGACCTGCTGGCCACGGACGCCGACATCATCAGCCGCTGCCAGGTGCGGGCGGGGCGGGGCGGGGTGGGGCCTCCCGGGGCGGGGGCGGGGCCTCCCTCCCTCCCCACCCACCCAGCGAGAGCCCTCCCCCTGGGCCCAGCGGACCCTGCTTCCCCGGCCTCCGCGCCCTGACCTGGGAAGCCTCTCGGACTCCTCCGCTGCCCCCACTGCCTCCCCCACCCAGCCCCACCCTCCAGGGCAGGCAGGGGCCCGGGGCAGAGCTATGAATACGAGTCGCTGAGTCAGGGACACCGGATCCGCAGGGGCGGAGCATGGCCTAGCTGCGGCGCCGGGCCCTCCCGGACGCGGTGGGGTGCGCGGGGACCCCAGTTCCGGGTGGCTTGAGGGCCTTCACTCTGCCTGGGTCTGGGACGGGGCTGGCTGACCCCACGCAGGGGTCAGTGCACGCGGGCGCTGGGTGCCTGGAGCCCGGAGAGCCAGACCTCTCTGGGCGGGAATGACCCAGGGGGCCGGCCAAGAGGGGGCCGCGGCGGCGCAGGAAGGGCCATGGGCCAGGCCCTGAGGGGAAGCAGGGCGGGGACAGGCCAGACTCAGAGAAGTGGGAGGGGCCACATGGACTTAGGGCCAGGGTGACCCAGGGGCTGGCAGGGCCACCTCGCGGGCCAGACACCAGCTTTGTGCCCTGAGGGCCCGAGGCACGGCCTCTGCCAGCTGAAGGCTGCTCTCAGCACCCGTCTGTTCAGACCGACACGGAGCACCCTCGGGGTCACTCCAGGCTTGCTGCTGTGGGCTCACTCACAGCGTGGGGGCCAAGGGGTCGGCTCAGGTGCATGTGCTGGCAGTGCTGGGCTCTGGAGACACACACGGGAATGCTGCCAAAATGGGGAAGGGGCACCAGCGAGCCCGTTCTCCCTGAACCTTGAACCCCAGGTTGGCCCAGGGGCCTCCTGGTGGGAGAGGGGCCACAGCCTTGGGCTCGGCACTGAGGGGCAGGGGCCCCGGCAGGTCAGAGGGGGTCAGTGGAAGGCCTCCCAAGCAGATGGCGGGGGCGGGAATGGGATAAATGCTGGAGAACCAGGCTGGGGGAACACGTGAGGCGCAAGGTCCAAGAAGGCACGCAGTCGGTGCTGAATGTGGAGGCCAGCAGGGGCGTGGGAAGCCCTCGGTGCCGAGGGGTGCCGGCAGATGTGCACAGCAGAGGCTTCTGCCGGGGCAGGGGTGTGGCCAGGGAGCTGGCACAGGGCTGGGGGAGTGGGGTCCAGGACCAGAGGCAAGGAGGGGGTCAGACACCCAAGGAGCAACCCCAAGCCCCTTCACACCACAGTCACACGTGCACAGTCACACATGCACACACACACACACACAGCCCTTCCCCTCCAGGCACAAGTTCTTGGCACAAGTTCAGCTGCTCTGAACCAGCTCCAACCTCCTGTCACCTTTCCCCGTGCCCACGGTGCCAGCCAGAGTGGGGTGTGCCCTGCGGCTGCCCCAGGCTCAGAGGGAGGAGGGACCTAGGCCCTGCTCTTCAAAGCACATGGCCACCTACCCAGGTGGGCAACCGGAGCGGGTGGGTCCTGAGGTTGGGAGAGCAGCCCCAGGAGATGAGCTGGCAGTCGGGGTGGTTTGCTGACCTCCTGGAGGGGAGGGCCTGAGTGGGCAGGGCTGGGAAGGTACCAAGAGGGTGGCCCTCACAGGACCTCTGTGCCCAGGCCTCAGGGATGGCAGGATGACAGGGTTCGGTCTGCAGGCTGCATGAGCCTTGGGGTCCCAAGAAGGGTGGCAGAGGCCACCCAGGGCAGGGCAGGAGTGGGGCTGCACCCGGGGCTGTGTTAAATATCGAGCTCCCAGGAGACAGGCATTGCATACAGCTAAGGTGGGCAGCCCTAGGTATGGCGCATCCCTGCGGGGCCTGGTCCTCCTACCCTGGCCCAATGCTGGGGGCCTGGCCAGATGCCCGCAGGGACTGGAAGGGTCAAGACTGGTCAGATGCCTGAGAGGACAGCCCTGGCCCCGTCCCCATCCCATTCCTGTAGCCAGGAGCAAGAAGGCTGTTTCTTAGATCCCTGCTGCCAGGGAGGCAGCTGGCAGGGGCATCCACAGGGCTCTGAGGGACTGGCCAGGCTGGGCTGGGGCAGTCTCAGCATCTCAGTGCTGCACGTCACCAGAGCCCCACCACAGGCGATAACCTGAGGCAGGAAAGTCAGGTGACTGGGCCAGGCCCCCGGGGTGCAGATGGAGGGCCAGGCCTGCTCCAGGGAGCTGCCGAGCAGAGGCTGGACAGGTGTGGAGCCCCCTGCTGTCCCGGGGTTCCAGGACAGTCCTCACGCACTCCGGCGCATGGGGACTGCAGCCTCTGAGGCCTGCCCATAGAGGCTGGCCCCAAGGAAGGAGGCAGGCTGGGCCTGGGACATCCCTTCTCACCCATCTCCTGTGGGGACCCTAGACCTCCAAGCGGTTTTCCAAACCAGGCTGAAGCCCTGGGCCAACTTCAGGCAGAGCTGCACCCCAAACCTGAGGGCCCCTGGGCCCAGCTCTCCTCGGGACTGCACACTGCAGATGGCACCCCCGCTAAAGCCTAAGGACAGCAGGCGGAGTGTTCTTACCCCGGCCTCCCCACCTGCCCACGTGTGGCCCGGGAGAGGACAGAGCTGTGGGGAGGTGTGGCCAGCAGGCCCAGGGCTCGGCATCCTGGGCTGGCTCATGCCCCTGGAGGTGGACAGTTGTCTGATACCTGGGCCTGTAGCTGGCAGGAGTCATTTGTCATTTGATGCCCTCTGGCACACAGTGGCCTTTGCCTGTCCCTAGGTGTCCACGTTTACCCCAGACAAGGGCAGGTATGCTCAGTCTGTGTGTTCCTCAGCCAGCGGGCCTTGGCACTCAGCAGGCGGAGGTGGGGTGTCTGGGCCCATCCAGTCCACCAGCTGTGGCAGGCAGGATGTGGCCAGGAGTGGGGGGATCAGGGGGTGGCCTGGCACACGGGGGCGGGCTCTGCAGGGAGGTGGTGGCCTGCACCTGGTCTAGCCCAGGCCCTGCCCCAGGCTCTCTTCTCTCAGGACCTCAGCTGTCCCGTCTGTCAACGGAGACCACGCTCCCAGGCCGCCCCTCCAGTGGTGGCAGCGCTGATTGTGGTTATGACCCTGTGCAAAGAGCCTGGCATGTGTGTGGCGGGGTTTGGGGAGGGAGGTTCACTGCACAGGTGCCAGGGGAGGGCAGAGCATGGACGGGGTCCTGGGAAGGTGCTGTGACCCCAAACCCGAGGCCTGTCGGTCACCGTGGCCTTGCTGCAGGGTTAGGGTTAGGGGTTAGGGGTTAGGATTAGGGGTTAGGTTTAGGGTAGTTCCCGCGACCTGATGGGCTGAACCAGCAGCCCAGAGGCGGGACTCACACCACAGGCACCCGATGTCCGTGGCTGAGCAGGCGCCTCTCCTCCCCCTGCCCTGCACCTGTCAGCATCCCTCTCCCTCCCACAGCCCCCTGCCCCTTCCTTTGTCTCCCCTCCATGGCAGCCTGCCTGGCTCACCTCCCAGCACCATCTCCATTGGGAGCCACCTGTGACCTGGCACCCCCTGCCCACCCTTACTCATGGGACACACCCTTGGCTCCTAGGCCCCCCACCATCCCCTGGGCCTTCCCACTGCTCCCCACTGGCAGCCCACACTGTTTCCACTATCAACCGATCACCTGGAAGTCCCAGGGCATCTGGGGAGACTGTACGGCTGCCTTTCCATGACGGTCGAGCTGTGGGGCACAGCAGTCATACAAGAGGGCCACCCTGGGTGCACACCTAGATGGCAGCGGCCCTGGGAGTCTGTCAGCCAGCATGCCTGCCTCGGAAGCCCACCACACCCTTGGCAGAGGCGTCAGGATCAGACCCACACAGACCTTCCATATGCGTTTCATAAGCAGAATGCTTGGGTGTCTGGGACCCCTGGGAGAACGGGTTTCCAGCACAGCTGTCTCAGGTGGCCGATACAGACCGCAGGGGTGGAGGGGCGCTGCAGAAGTGGGGAGATGTAGGGTTCCAGCCCCGCTTCTCAGGTGTGAAGGGAGGGAAAGCCCTTGGCCTGGGGTCTCTGGCGTCTTCCCAGGGGCAGCCTATCCCCCTGCCTGCGCCATTCCAGTGGAGGAGCTCAGAGATGTAAATGTCCAGCTAGGTGCTCCTGGGTGGGGGGCTCGGGGGGAGGCCAGTCATTCAGCCCTGCCTGGGGCAGGCAAGGAAAGGCGACCTGGGGGCCCTGCAGACAAGGCGGGGCGGTGGGGCGTGGCAGGAAGGGGGCCCCAGCCAGGGGGGCCCCCACAGATGAGCCTGTGTTTCTTCAGGAGGTTCAGGCAGGAAGGCAGCAGGGCTGGGCTGGGCTCCTGTGGACAGAGTGGGCATAGCGACCAACAGGCCCGTGGCACCGGGTGCCAGCCAGCACGCTTCCCTCCCTGAGGGCAGCCAGGATGGTCCAGGGAACTCTGGTGGTGGCAACTGGCACTGGAGGCTGGGCTTCCCTCCTGCCACGGGGCCTTCGAGGTGCCCCCCAGACCACCTCAGCCTACAGCACGTGGTAAGTGGCAGCTCAGAAAGGAAGGGAACCTGTTGCACTAGTGTCCCCAGGACAGGTGGCCTCAGGGTCGTTTTTCCCTTTTTATTCTTAGATGGGAGGCGTGGGCCCAGAGGAAGGGGCCCCTGACAAGGGGGTGACCAGCGACCACACTGGTCCCCTCTCCCAGCCTTGCGAGGATGGTGCTGTCTGCCGCCCCCCACCCCCCGCCCCTGCCGGCAGGGGGCTCGGGCTGTGTGGATTGCAGGGCCGTGGGTGGAAGTTTCTTGGAAAGGCGGGCTCTTCATTCCTGCATCAGAGGATCCCCAGCAGGACTCAAACCTGCACCGAAGCCTGGGGTCATCTGCCCTTGCCCACAAGATAGTCCCTGGTGTGGTAGTCCCTGGGGACAGAACCACTGCCCCCAGCAGCCCTGGGGGGCTCCTGAGTGCCTGTGTCTGGAGCAACAAGGAGTGGGGCTCCAGGAGGCCTTCCAGGTGGGTCCATGTGTTGGGGCTCCTGGACACTCAGCCGGATTTCTGTCCCCAGGGGGGCAACAACGCTGGCCATACAGTGGTGGTGGACGGCCAGGAGTATGACTTCCACCTGCTGCCCAGTGGCATCATTAACAGCAAGGCCGTGTCCTTCATCGGTGAGTGCCTGTGGCCCTGAGGACTGGGGGTCGGCAGGAAAGCCTGGGGCGCCAGCCAGCCTGGGGCCGTGTTGGGGGTGTGGGAGCCCTCTGAGCATGTAAGCAGGCTCACTGCCCGAATGCCGCATGTGGGGGGTGAGGGCAGGTGTGTGAGGCTGTGTGCACGCACATGCCTGCGTGTGGGCCGGCGGGACTGAGTGGGAGTGGGAGCGATGCCTGGCTGCCCGCTGCGTGGAGGGGGCCGAGCCTGCATGTGGACGGAGCAGCCCCACACTCAGGCGGCTGCCCTACCCTGGGGCCCTCCTGCTACCCTCAGGCTAGCATCCAGCCACTTTCACTGCCCAGAAGCCCCTGCTCTGCCTCTGGGACCTCTCTCTCTCTCTCTCTCTCTGTCTCAGACTCGGTCTCTCTCTCTGCCCTCCCCCCTGGCCTGAGCCTCCCTTGTCAGAGCAGCAGGGGATGTGCGGAGAGCCTTCTCCGTGGTTGTGCAGACTTGGGCCAGCAGTTGTGAGGATAGTGCGACAACCCCAGTTCACATGGGACCCCACCTATATCCCAGCAAGGCTGGCTGGGTGGGCTCTGCTGCGGACCCCCTCCAGCTCTGGCCACATCTGCTGGGCCCTGGGCTCTGCTTGGCGGAAATGAGGCCAGGCAGGCACCAGTTGACCAGTGGACGTGCATCCTGTCCTCTGAGGAGCTGAGCACGGGTCAGGGGCAGCAGCCGGCCTGGTGGTTATGAGGGAGCGTGGGCAGGGGTCGGCTCCACAGGCACCACAGCCAGAGGGGCCCCAGGAAGCGTGCTTAGCAAGGGGCAGAATGTGCCGGAGCTCCCACAACTGCCCCTCAGGCCCCTGCCTCATGGTCATTTCAGGACACCATGGCATTTAGGCAACCTTTAGTGCTCCGTATGGTTTGCATAGTGTCTGAGTCACTCCCATCTGGACCCATGTCCCATCTCCCTTGGCCAAGCCTCCTCCAACCCCATGGGAACTGGGCCAGGGAGAGGGCTCCTTCCAGGAAGGCAGCAGGTGGCCACTCCCCAGCTGCTTTGGTCTTAGAGGACAGGGCCCGCATTTGGCTTTAGCCTGGACCCCACACTCATGTGCTGTGTGACCTTGGGCAAGTCACCTTCCTTCTTTGCCTGTGAACATTTACCCGGAAAACCCCATCCCAGCCTTGCATGGGGCTCGTGGCGGCCCTCGCCGGGTCCTGGGAGAGCTTGGGGCTGCATTTCCCCATGCCCCCTGCTCTCCCATTTTGTCCCCTTTAAATAAAATGAAACGGCTTTATTGAAGAATAGTTTACATGTCATGAAATTCACCATGACTGCGGCCCTCTGAACCACAGTCCAGCTGCACAGCATTGCCATCACCCCAGAAAGTGCCCCTCTGCCGTGTGCAGTGGCTCCCAGCCCCGCCCCAGCCGCTCCTGACCGGCTCCATCTCTGCAATGGCTTCATGCTGCTTTCTGTACTTTCATCGCAATAAAGTACACATGACATACATGGACCATCTCAGCCATTTTTAAGTGCCCAGCTCAGCAGCACTGAGCACAGTCACACTGTCACAGCCACCATTGCCGCCATCTTCAGGACGTTCCCATTCTCCCAAACTGAAACCCGTCCCCATTAGACACTCCCCACCCCTCCCCCAGCCCTGGCTACCCCCACTCTGCTTTCTGTCTCCATGGGTGTGATGCCTCCAGGGACCTCCTGTAAGTGGGACCTCACAGGACCAGCCTATGACTGGCTGGTTCTGCTCAGCATCATGGCCTCGAGGTTCATCCACACAGCAGGCCATGTCAGTCTCCTTCCTCCATGAGGAACACAAACATCACATTTTCTCTGGGCATCTGTTTGGCGATGGGCCGCTTCCAGATCTGAGCTACTGAGAGGCGCTGTTTTAAGCCTAAATCCCCAGCGTTCGTGACAGATTCCGTCTCCTGTCCATGTGTTGCAGGCAATGGGGTGGTTGTCCACTTACCGGGCTTGTTTGAAGAAGCAGAAAAGAATGAGAAGAAAGGTAGGTCCTTTCCAGGCACGTGAAGGCCCCACCATGACCGGCTCGCTGCGCCCCTGTCAGGGTAAAGACAGCGGGCAGGGTTGGCTTCCCTGGCTCTGCCAAGCCCTGCGACCGCCCGCGGGCTCTGCCTGTGCCTAAAGCTGGGCACTTGCACAGGAAGCAGAGAGCGGGGCGGCCTGGAGGCCTCAGCTGTGACCGCAAGCCGCTGCTTCAGCACCGCGGGGAGCTCTCAGGACACTGGGACAGGCGCTGGAGGATCAGATTCAGGAAGTCTGGGTGGGGGGTTCTGAGACCTGGAATTTGACAGTGCTCCCCAGGGAACCCTGATGTTCAGCCAGGATGGGGAGCACCAGGCCGGCCGAGCCCACAGGGAAAGATGCTTCTGGGGGATCCTCGGGGGCAGGAGGCCATGGGCCAGAGCATCTGGGCACGCTAGACGCTGTGAGTGTCGTCTAGAGGCAGCGCCCCTGAGACCCCGGGAGAGTTCATGGAGGATACAGGCCTTGGCCTCTGGGCTCAAGTTCAGGACAATTTCAAAGAAGCAGGGGGAAGCTGACCCTGAGACAGGGGAACCAGGAAGGCTGCCCCTCAGCGAGATGGCCAGCCGTTGGGACATGGAGGGCATCTCCTTGGGGTGAGGGTCACGGGGAGGGCACACGGGAGCTGACGCTGGCCTCTCTGGTGGGCACTGGGCGAGCTGGCCAGCCCTGACCCGTCACCTAGGAGCGCTGGCCCCGGCCGTGTCCCCGCAGGTCTGAAGGGCTGGGAGAAGAGGCTTGTCATCTCCGACCGCGCCCACCTCGGTGAGTGTCCTGCGGCTGGGAGCAGGGGCCGGCCCCTCCTGCCACCCCGACCCCTCCACAGCCCCCCTCCAAGGTGGCCAAGCCATGTCACTCCAGGGGGCCTTCTCAAAGAGCTTCAAGGTGGGCGCCCAGTCGGGGTCACTGACCCCATTGGCAGAAGGGGTAACTGAGGCCCTGGGGACTCATGGCCACATGTAAGTCCATGGGGAGCAGAGGCGGGATTCGTTTGCCCCTCTCACACTGGACCGCCCCGTCCCAGGCAGCCATGCACGCACAGGGAGGCCCCATAACCCTGTGTCTGTCTCTCCTGCCCCCCGCTGCCCTCACCTGGCCGGCAGTGTTTGATTTCCACCAGGCAGTGGACGGGCTGCAGGAGGTACAGCGACAAGTCCAGGAGGGGAAGAGGTGAGTGTCCCCGGCCGCTTTTGTCTCAGTCTGGGGCACGGTGGGAGGGGAGTGTGGGCCCACCCAGCAGCCGAGAGCAGCGCCCTCAGAGCACCTCCCCAGTCCTGAAGCCTACCAGGACTGCCGGATTGCCAGGCCAGCTCCCTAGACCTCGGAGGGCACCTGGGGCAGCAGGTCTCAGAGCAGAGGTCAAGGACAGGGGGCAGGAGAGCTGGGACTCGGTGCCTCCTGCCACCCAGCAGCCCCAGGACCCCTGAAGGTGGGCAGTGGGAGGCAGGTTTGCTCCGCAGCCATCCCTGGCTGTCTGCCAGGAAGGTGCCTTGCATGTGACCCTTTATTTACATAAATAAATATGGGGTGGAAACGAGGTCTGGAGGGGGCTGGTCCGGGCCCCTGGCAGACTGCCGGGCAGGGCTGGCCTCACGCCCGTGCCCACAGCCACCCCGTCTTGCAGTATTGGCACCACCAGGAAGGGAATCGGGCCAGCCTACTCTTCCAAAGCAGCCCGTACGGGCCTCCGCATCTGCGACCTCCTGTCGGACTTTGACGAATTTTCTGCCAGGTACCTGCCCTGCCTGCAGCCTGAGGGGGAGGGAGCCTGGGCTGGTGAGGAGGGGGCACGGGGGTCCAGCCCTTGTCACTCTGCAGATTCAAGAACCTGGCCCACCAGCACCAGTCCATGTTCCCCACTTTGGAAATAGACATTGAAGGGCAACTCAAAAGGCTCAAGGTAGAGCTGGGGCAGTTGGGGGGTGGGCAGTGGGGGTGTGGGCAGGCCCCACCCAGGTGTGATGTCTTATCAGACGCTGGCTGAACGCCCACGCAGCACACCTTCCATGGGGTGTTACTATGGGGTGGCTGGCCTTCTTGGGGACCACAGGCCTCCCGTGTGAGCCCCAGCCAGCCAAGTCAGGGTGGTCTTCTCACAAGGCAGGGGACCCACAGACTCCTCGGTTCCTCTCTGGGGAAATGGCCCAGGATGCGCTGGGGGAGAGAGGCTGGCCCTGTCCTGCCTAGAGCAGGAGGTAAAGATGTCCCTGTCCACTGGTAGGGGGACAGAGTGGGGTGGGGGACAGGCTGAGGACAGCACAAAGCCCTTCGGGAAGTTTCCACGGCTGGCCCCCACCCCTCCCAGCCCTTATCCAGGGCTGTAAATGAGAACGGGACGGACCAATAGGACACCGGTCACGGCAGATCGGGACCCACAGTGGGGACCTCATCTGGACCTAATCACCTCCACAAAGGCCCCATCTCCAAATGCAGTCACGCTGAGGTCCTGGGGGTCGGGGCTTCCACAGATAAATTTGAGGACACAGACCAACCAGCGAGGCCAGCGCTGAGCATCACAGTGGGACCCAGACGCCGCCAGGGGGTCCTGGGTCTTGGGACAGGTTGGCAGGCCAGGCCCCTCGCTGGAGAGGAATGTGCTGGAAGGGCAGGGCTGTCGGGAGGAGGCCCGACCCCACGGCAGCCCTCTCCACCGCCTCCTCGCAGGGCTTCGCCGAGCGGGTCCGACCCATGGTCCGAGATGGCGTGTACTTCATGTACGAGGCGCTCCACGGCCCCCCGAGGAAGGTCCTCGTGGAGGGCGCCAACGCCGCCCTCCTCGACATCGACTTCGGTGCGTGCCCGACCCCGGTCCTGACCCTGACCCCGGCCCCGGCCCCTGGCTGTGCTGGCCCAACAGTCCCTCCCTTCTGTGCCTGCGGGGCAGGGCTGGCGCTGACCTCAGCTGGGCGGGGAGGAGGCGGAGGGGCCGAGGAACTGCAAGGCACCTTCCTGCCACCCAGCCCCGAGGAGCCCCGGCGCAGAGCAGGCCTGGCCCGGGCAGGGAGGCACCCACCTCCCTCCTCACACCTCCCAACCCAGAGGAGAGCCACAGCGGCATCACAGTGTCCCCTACCAGCCACTCCCCGGAATGGCCCCACAGACGCTGCCCTGGAGCACCTACCGAGCTGCCCGCTGCCCTCTGAGAGGGACCCCTGGGCAGGGGGTGACCTGTATGGGGCGGCGGGCAGACCTGACAGGTTCTGTCTTGCAGGGACCTACCCCTTTGTGACATCATCCAACTGCACTGTGGGCGGGGTGTGCACTGGCCTAGGCATCCCCCCCCAGAACATAGGCGAGGTCTACGGCGTGGTGAAGGCCTACACCACACGCGTGGGCATCGGCGCCTTCCCCACCGAGCAGATCAATGTGAGTCCCCAGCCCTGGTGGGACCCCATGGAGACACAGAGGCAGGGCCTGTTAGTGACACTCAGGTGGGGCCCAGGGGCAAGCGTAATAATGTGGCAGAAGTCAGTGTGCTCAGGCCGCACCACACCCGACGAGCTTACAGCGAGGATACGCTAGCCTCCAGGGCCAGGCTCATCCTGCCCTGACCCGCCCCCGTCCCCCGGGCTCCCTGCCCTCAGGGGGAGGCATTCAGCACAGAGGCCCTTGGGGGGCCTCAGCAGGGCATGCTCTCCGGGGACACGTGGGGGCGGCATGCAGGTGTGAGGAGGGTCCGTCCGCCAAGGGTGCAGTAAACAGCACATGTTCTGCTGAGCCGGGGGACACAAGGGGAGGAGGCTCCTTTTGAGCTGGCACGTGACCTGCCCGCGGTCACACAGGAAATCGGCAACCTGCTGCAGAGCCGCGGCCACGAGTGGGGTGTGACCACAGGCAGGAAGAGGCGCTGTGGCTGGCTGGACCTGGTGATTCTGAGATACGCTCACATGGTCAATGGATTTACCGCGTAAGCAGCCCTGCCAGGATGCTGGTCACCACGTGACACCCGTTGTGCCCTCCCATGGGCCCTCCCGGATCCCACCCCCACGGGAACAAGTGGTGCCAGGTGTCGGGGCTCAGGGCTGCGGTCGCCTCTGCATGGTGGGGCCACAGCTGGGGGTGTGGATCCTGCTTAGCCACCTGCCCCTGAGCATGTGTGGGAAGGTGTGGGAAGGTCAGGGGGCGTCCTGGCAGCCATGAGAGGTTAAAACAGCCCGTCTGGAGATGAGCTGGGCGAGGGCACATGGGCTTCCGCCTTTGTCCTCACAGACCCAGCACTGTCTGCCAGCCGGGTCTGGACCCCACTGACCTAACTGTCCAGACCTCCGGCAGGGCTGCTAGGGGTCCAGCCAGGGCCCTGACGGAGACCCCGTCCCAGCACAGCTGTGACCAGGGGCAGAGGCTGCAGAGACCCCACACAGCAGCACCTGTGGCTGAGACAGACTGGGCTCCCTGCAGGGCAGCACCAAGCCCACACCTCCAGGGCTGGGGTGGGGGCCACAGACGTCCCTAGCAGCCTCTCTGGGCAGAGGGCCAAGACGAAGCCCAGGACAGCACTGCCCTGTCTCACAGCCACTGTGGACGGGCAAACACAGGAGCCCCACTGCGAGGCCGAGGCCAGCCAGCTGTGCCCAGGGAGAGAGGACAGAGGAAGAGGGAAAAGAGGGGACAGTAGGGCAGGCTCAGGGCCCAGCGCTGAGTGGAACCGGCAAAGGCACAGGCTGCTGCCGGCTTCTCGCGGGCACCCGCAGGGCAGCTGGGGTGGTGGGCGGAGGGGTGGACAGACACCACGCACTGGGCCCGAGGAGCGCCAGGTGTGATGGCAGCTGTTAAAGAGGGCAAGGTGGCCAGCACAGTCCCCGTGGGGACTTGAGGTGAGGACTTGGGCAGCAGATGCTGTGCTGCCCGCCTGTGCCAGCTGCATTTTCTGGGACCTCGTCTGTGCTCCCACCTGCTGAGAACAGCAGAGGCAGGAGTCCGGGCTGGCACCCTTGCAGCTGGCAGCCTCTCCAGCTTGTCTCTGCATTGGCGTTTGGATAGGCTGGCCTTGACCAAACTGGACATCTTGGATGCCCTGGACGAGATTAAAGTTGGCGTCTCCTACAAGCTGAATGGGAAAAGGATCCCCTATTTCCCAGGTAGGTGAATGAGGGGGCTGTTTGGTCCGTGGGGCAGTCCCACCTGACACGGGAATGGACGTGGCCTGTGGTCTCCGGAGCTGAGGGCAAAGTTTGCATGTTATGTGTGTAGGCTGAGTGCCTGTCCCGAAGGTCCAGCCCGTTGAGGGGTCTGTTGCAGGCCAGTGGGGAGGCCCATCCCATGAATTGGAAGTGGTCCTGGGGAGGACCTGGGCTGACAGGAGACAACCTGGTGTTTCCCCGGGGACCCTAAGCGCCTTGGCATTGGGAACCACCTCCTGGGTGCACCGGCAGCCCCCCCGAGTCAGCAGGCATGTTCTGCTCTGGAAACCTACAGCTCTGTGCAAACCTGGAGATGACTGTTCTGCCTAAGAAAACATGCTTTTTGGTTAGACTGTTTCAGAGCTAATGGGTTCATGCAACTGTAGGCCTCTTCTTTTGAAAAGCATAAAAGCGATGCTGTTTTCCTGGTTTTCTCAGTTTCACGTGCACGTGAACCAGGGGCCACACTGTGACCCCACTCCCCCAGCAGCTCCCTCCCTACAAGCCCACAGGCTTTGGGGAGCCACCCTGGCTGTCATCTGAGCACCCATGTGCAGACCCACCATTGCTGCCAGGCTGTGGGAGCCACGTGTGTCCCGTTGGCCCTGGCCCTGGCCCTGCTGACCCCTGACCTTTGAGAAGGTACAGCAGCAGTGTGGTATGGCTCTGAGGGTCTAGGGCCCCAGGGAGATGTGCAACAAAGAGTGCACCCAAACCCCTTGCAGTGTATGGCTTGTTCCAGCACTTTAAGTCAGTAAGGGCTGGTTGGCATCTGCTGTGAGCCGCATGTAGTGAGCCACAGAGTCCCAGCCGGAGCCGGGTACCCACTTTGGAGAGAAGGGACATGGATCCTTTGGGATCTTTTAATGCTTCAGGACCCTTAGAGTTTCTGAGCGGGAATTTGAGTTCTTCAGCTGAGTCACCCATGGGCGCTCCAGCAGAGCTCTTAGCCATCTGGGTCCCAGAGGGACACGGTCCCCTGGTCTGGAAGGGGTGCAGCCAGTGTCCAAGAACCACTCCCCTACCCTGAGAAAACTGATCAGGCAACTTGCCTTCCTCATTGCTGAGCCCCCAGGCCAAGGAGGCCCCAGACTGGGGGCCCCAAGCCATCTAGCATCTGATCAGATTGAAGAGATGCCATTCGTGACCATGCCTCCACGCACCGTGTGTCTCCCCAGCAAACCAAGAGATACTTCAGAAGGTCGAAGTCGAATACGAAACGTTGCCTGGGTGGAAAGCAGACACTACGAGTGCCAGGAAGTGGGAGGACCTCCCCGCACAGGCCCAGAGCTACATCCGCTTTGTGGAGAATCACATTGGAGTGCCAGGTAGGTGCCCTGTGCCAGCGGCCCCCCCTTCTCCCCACCACACTCCAGTCTGAACAAACCTTTTCCCTTTCAGTGAAGTGGGTTGGCGTTGGCAAATCAAGAGATTCGATGANCTGCCCAGTGGCATCATTAACAGCAAGGCCGTGTCCTTCATCGGTGAGTGCCTGTGGCCCTGAGGACTGGGGGTCGGCAGGAAAGCCTGGGGCGCCAGCCAGCCTGGGGCCGTGTTGGGGGTGTGGGAGCCCTCTGAGCATGTAAGCAGGCTCACTGCCCGAATGCCGCATGTGGGGGGTGAGGGCAGGTGTGTGAGGCTGTGTGCACGCACATGCCTGCGTGTGGGCCGGCGGGACTGAGTGGGAGTGGGAGCGATGCCTGGCTGCCCGCTGCGTGGAGGGGGCCGAGCCTGCATGTGGACGGAGCAGCCCCACACTCAGGCGGCTGCCCTACCCTGGGGCCCTCCTGCTACCCTCAGGCTAGCATCCAGCCACTTTCACTGCCCAGAAGCCCCTGCTCTGCCTCTGGGACCTCTCTCTCTCTCTCTCTCTCTCTGTCTCAGACTCGGTCTCTCTCTCTGCCCTCCCCCCTGGCCTGAGCCTCCCTTGTCAGAGCAGCAGGGGATGTGCGGAGAGCCTTCTCCGTGGTTGTGCAGACTTGGGCCAGCAGTTGTGAGGATAGTGCGACAACCCCAGTTCACATGGGACCCCACCTATATCCCAGCAAGGCTGGCTGGGTGGGCTCTGCTGCGGACCCCCTCCAGCTCTGGCCACATCTGCTGGGCCCTGGGCTCTGCTTGGCGGAAATGAGGCCAGGCAGGCACCAGTTGACCAGTGGACGTGCATCCTGTCCTCTGAGGAGCTGAGCACGGGTCAGGGGCAGCAGCCGGCCTGGTGGTTATGAGGGAGCGTGGGCAGGGGTCGGCTCCACAGGCACCACAGCCAGAGGGGCCCCAGGAAGCGTGCTTAGCAAGGGGCAGAATGTGCCGGAGCTCCCACAACTGCCCCTCAGGCCCCTGCCTCATGGTCATTTCAGGACACCATGGCATTTAGGCAACCTTTAGTGCTCCGTATGGTTTGCATAGTGTCTGAGTCACTCCCATCTGGACCCATGTCCCATCTCCCTTGGCCAAGCCTCCTCCAACCCCATGGGAACTGGGCCAGGGAGAGGGCTCCTTCCAGGAAGGCAGCAGGTGGCCACTCCCCAGCTGCTTTGGTCTTAGAGGACAGGGCCCGCATTTGGCTTTAGCCTGGACCCCACACTCATGTGCTGTGTGACCTTGGGCAAGTCACCTTCCTTCTTTGCCTGTGAACATTTACCCGGAAAACCCCATCCCAGCCTTGCATGGGGCTCGTGGCGGCCCTCGCCGGGTCCTGGGAGAGCTTGGGGCTGCATTTCCCCATGCCCCCTGCTCTCCCATTTTGTCCCCTTTAAATAAAATGAAACGGCTTTATTGAAGAATAGTTTACATGTCATGAAATTCACCATGACTGCGGCCCTCTGAACCACAGTCCAGCTGCACAGCATTGCCATCACCCCAGAAAGTGCCCCTCTGCCGTGTGCAGTGGCTCCCAGCCCCGCCCCAGCCGCTCCTGACCGGCTCCATCTCTGCAATGGCTTCATGCTGCTTTCTGTACTTTCATCGCAATAAAGTACACATGACATACATGGACCATCTCAGCCATTTTTAAGTGCCCAGCTCAGCAGCACTGAGCACAGTCACACTGTCACAGCCACCATTGCCGCCATCTTCAGGACGTTCCCATTCTCCCAAACTGAAACCCGTCCCCATTAGACACTCCCCACCCCTCCCCCAGCCCTGGCTACCCCCACTCTGCTTTCTGTCTCCATGGGTGTGATGCCTCCAGGGACCTCCTGTAAGTGGGACCTCACAGGACCAGCCTATGACTGGCTGGTTCTGCTCAGCATCATGGCCTCGAGGTTCATCCACACAGCAGGCCATGTCAGTCTCCTTCCTCCATGAGGAACACAAACATCACATTTTCTCTGGGCATCTGTTTGGCGATGGGCCGCTTCCAGATCTGAGCTACTGAGAGGCGCTGTTTTAAGCCTAAATCCCCAGCGTTCGTGACAGATTCCGTCTCCTGTCCATGTGTTGCAGGCAATGGGGTGGTTGTCCACTTACCGGGCTTGTTTGAAGAAGCAGAAAAGAATGAGAAGAAAGGTAGGTCCTTTCCAGGCACGTGAAGGCCCCACCATGACCGGCTCGCTGCGCCCCTGTCAGGGTAAAGACAGCGGGCAGGGTTGGCTTCCCTGGCTCTGCCAAGCCCTGCGACCGCCCGCGGGCTCTGCCTGTGCCTAAAGCTGGGCACTTGCACAGGAAGCAGAGAGCGGGGCGGCCTGGAGGCCTCAGCTGTGACCGCAAGCCGCTGCTTCAGCACCGCGGGGAGCTCTCAGGACACTGGGACAGGCGCTGGAGGATCAGATTCAGGAAGTCTGGGTGGGGGGTTCTGAGACCTGGAATTTGACAGTGCTCCCCAGGGAACCCTGATGTTCAGCCAGGATGGGGAGCACCAGGCCGGCCGAGCCCACAGGGAAAGATGCTTCTGGGGGATCCTCGGGGGCAGGAGGCCATGGGCCAGAGCATCTGGGCACGCTAGACGCTGTGAGTGTCGTCTAGAGGCAGCGCCCCTGAGACCCCGGGAGAGTTCATGGAGGATACAGGCCTTGGCCTCTGGGCTCAAGTTCAGGACAATTTCAAAGAAGCAGGGGGAAGCTGACCCTGAGACAGGGGAACCAGGAAGGCTGCCCCTCAGCGAGATGGCCAGCCGTTGGGACATGGAGGGCATCTCCTTGGGGTGAGGGTCACGGGGAGGGCACACGGGAGCTGACGCTGGCCTCTCTGGTGGGCACTGGGCGAGCTGGCCAGCCCTGACCCGTCACCTAGGAGCGCTGGCCCCGGCCGTGTCCCCGCAGGTCTGAAGGGCTGGGAGAAGAGGCTTGTCATCTCCGACCGCGCCCACCTCGGTGAGTGTCCTGCGGCTGGGAGCAGGGGCCGGCCCCTCCTGCCACCCCGACCCCTCCACAGCCCCCCTCCAAGGTGGCCAAGCCATGTCACTCCAGGGGGCCTTCTCAAAGAGCTTCAAGGTGGGCGCCCAGTCGGGGTCACTGACCCCATTGGCAGAAGGGGTAACTGAGGCCCTGGGGACTCATGGCCACATGTAAGTCCATGGGGAGCAGAGGCGGGATTCGTTTGCCCCTCTCACACTGGACCGCCCCGTCCCAGGCAGCCATGCACGCACAGGGAGGCCCCATAACCCTGTGTCTGTCTCTCCTGCCCCCCGCTGCCCTCACCTGGCCGGCAGTGTTTGATTTCCACCAGGCAGTGGACGGGCTGCAGGAGGTACAGCGACAAGTCCAGGAGGGGAAGAGGTGAGTGTCCCCGGCCGCTTTTGTCTCAGTCTGGGGCACGGTGGGAGGGGAGTGTGGGCCCACCCAGCAGCCGAGAGCAGCGCCCTCAGAGCACCTCCCCAGTCCTGAAGCCTACCAGGACTGCCGGATTGCCAGGCCAGCTCCCTAGACCTCGGAGGGCACCTGGGGCAGCAGGTCTCAGAGCAGAGGTCAAGGACAGGGGGCAGGAGAGCTGGGACTCGGTGCCTCCTGCCACCCAGCAGCCCCAGGACCCCTGAAGGTGGGCAGTGGGAGGCAGGTTTGCTCCGCAGCCATCCCTGGCTGTCTGCCAGGAAGGTGCCTTGCATGTGACCCTTTATTTACATAAATAAATATGGGGTGGAAACGAGGTCTGGAGGGGGCTGGTCCGGGCCCCTGGCAGACTGCCGGGCAGGGCTGGCCTCACGCCCGTGCCCACAGCCACCCCGTCTTGCAGTATTGGCACCACCAGGAAGGGAATCGGGCCAGCCTACTCTTCCAAAGCAGCCCGTACGGGCCTCCGCATCTGCGACCTCCTGTCGGACTTTGACGAATTTTCTGCCAGGTACCTGCCCTGCCTGCAGCCTGAGGGGGAGGGAGCCTGGGCTGGTGAGGAGGGGGCACGGGGGTCCAGCCCTTGTCACTCTGCAGATTCAAGAACCTGGCCCACCAGCACCAGTCCATGTTCCCCACTTTGGAAATAGACATTGAAGGGCAACTCAAAAGGCTCAAGGTAGAGCTGGGGCAGTTGGGGGGTGGGCAGTGGGGGTGTGGGCAGGCCCCACCCAGGTGTGATGTCTTATCAGACGCTGGCTGAACGCCCACGCAGCACACCTTCCATGGGGTGTTACTATGGGGTGGCTGGCCTTCTTGGGGACCACAGGCCTCCCGTGTGAGCCCCAGCCAGCCAAGTCAGGGTGGTCTTCTCACAAGGCAGGGGACCCACAGACTCCTCGGTTCCTCTCTGGGGAAATGGCCCAGGATGCGCTGGGGGAGAGAGGCTGGCCCTGTCCTGCCTAGAGCAGGAGGTAAAGATGTCCCTGTCCACTGGTAGGGGGACAGAGTGGGGTGGGGGACAGGCTGAGGACAGCACAAAGCCCTTCGGGAAGTTTCCACGGCTGGCCCCCACCCCTCCCAGCCCTTATCCAGGGCTGTAAATGAGAACGGGACGGACCAATAGGACACCGGTCACGGCAGATCGGGACCCACAGTGGGGACCTCATCTGGACCTAATCACCTCCACAAAGGCCCCATCTCCAAATGCAGTCACGCTGAGGTCCTGGGGGTCGGGGCTTCCACAGATAAATTTGAGGACACAGACCAACCAGCGAGGCCAGCGCTGAGCATCACAGTGGGACCCAGACGCCGCCAGGGGGTCCTGGGTCTTGGGACAGGTTGGCAGGCCAGGCCCCTCGCTGGAGAGGAATGTGCTGGAAGGGCAGGGCTGTCGGGAGGAGGCCCGACCCCACGGCAGCCCTCTCCACCGCCTCCTCGCAGGGCTTCGCCGAGCGGGTCCGACCCATGGTCCGAGATGGCGTGTACTTCATGTACGAGGCGCTCCACGGCCCCCCGAGGAAGGTCCTCGTGGAGGGCGCCAACGCCGCCCTCCTCGACATCGACTTCGGTGCGTGCCCGACCCCGGTCCTGACCCTGACCCCGGCCCCGGCCCCTGGCTGTGCTGGCCCAACAGTCCCTCCCTTCTGTGCCTGCGGGGCAGGGCTGGCGCTGACCTCAGCTGGGCGGGGAGGAGGCGGAGGGGCCGAGGAACTGCAAGGCACCTTCCTGCCACCCAGCCCCGAGGAGCCCCGGCGCAGAGCAGGCCTGGCCCGGGCAGGGAGGCACCCACCTCCCTCCTCACACCTCCCAACCCAGAGGAGAGCCACAGCGGCATCACAGTGTCCCCTACCAGCCACTCCCCGGAATGGCCCCACAGACGCTGCCCTGGAGCACCTACCGAGCTGCCCGCTGCCCTCTGAGAGGGACCCCTGGGCAGGGGGTGACCTGTATGGGGCGGCGGGCAGACCTGACAGGTTCTGTCTTGCAGGGACCTACCCCTTTGTGACATCATCCAACTGCACTGTGGGCGGGGTGTGCACTGGCCTAGGCATCCCCCCCCAGAACATAGGCGAGGTCTACGGCGTGGTGAAGGCCTACACCACACGCGTGGGCATCGGCGCCTTCCCCACCGAGCAGATCAATGTGAGTCCCCAGCCCTGGTGGGACCCCATGGAGACACAGAGGCAGGGCCTGTTAGTGACACTCAGGTGGGGCCCAGGGGCAAGCGTAATAATGTGGCAGAAGTCAGTGTGCTCAGGCCGCACCACACCCGACGAGCTTACAGCGAGGATACGCTAGCCTCCAGGGCCAGGCTCATCCTGCCCTGACCCGCCCCCGTCCCCCGGGCTCCCTGCCCTCAGGGGGAGGCATTCAGCACAGAGGCCCTTGGGGGGCCTCAGCAGGGCATGCTCTCCGGGGACACGTGGGGGCGGCATGCAGGTGTGAGGAGGGTCCGTCCGCCAAGGGTGCAGTAAACAGCACATGTTCTGCTGAGCCGGGGGACACAAGGGGAGGAGGCTCCTTTTGAGCTGGCACGTGACCTGCCCGCGGTCACACAGGAAATCGGCAACCTGCTGCAGAGCCGCGGCCACGAGTGGGGTGTGACCACAGGCAGGAAGAGGCGCTGTGGCTGGCTGGACCTGGTGATTCTGAGATACGCTCACATGGTCAATGGATTTACCGCGTAAGCAGCCCTGCCAGGATGCTGGTCACCACGTGACACCCGTTGTGCCCTCCCATGGGCCCTCCCGGATCCCACCCCCACGGGAACAAGTGGTGCCAGGTGTCGGGGCTCAGGGCTGCGGTCGCCTCTGCATGGTGGGGCCACAGCTGGGGGTGTGGATCCTGCTTAGCCACCTGCCCCTGAGCATGTGTGGGAAGGTGTGGGAAGGTCAGGGGGCGTCCTGGCAGCCATGAGAGGTTAAAACAGCCCGTCTGGAGATGAGCTGGGCGAGGGCACATGGGCTTCCGCCTTTGTCCTCACAGACCCAGCACTGTCTGCCAGCCGGGTCTGGACCCCACTGACCTAACTGTCCAGACCTCCGGCAGGGCTGCTAGGGGTCCAGCCAGGGCCCTGACGGAGACCCCGTCCCAGCACAGCTGTGACCAGGGGCAGAGGCTGCAGAGACCCCACACAGCAGCACCTGTGGCTGAGACAGACTGGGCTCCCTGCAGGGCAGCACCAAGCCCACACCTCCAGGGCTGGGGTGGGGGCCACAGACGTCCCTAGCAGCCTCTCTGGGCAGAGGGCCAAGACGAAGCCCAGGACAGCACTGCCCTGTCTCACAGCCACTGTGGACGGGCAAACACAGGAGCCCCACTGCGAGGCCGAGGCCAGCCAGCTGTGCCCAGGGAGAGAGGACAGAGGAAGAGGGAAAAGAGGGGACAGTAGGGCAGGCTCAGGGCCCAGCGCTGAGTGGAACCGGCAAAGGCACAGGCTGCTGCCGGCTTCTCGCGGGCACCCGCAGGGCAGCTGGGGTGGTGGGCGGAGGGGTGGACAGACACCACGCACTGGGCCCGAGGAGCGCCAGGTGTGATGGCAGCTGTTAAAGAGGGCAAGGTGGCCAGCACAGTCCCCGTGGGGACTTGAGGTGAGGACTTGGGCAGCAGATGCTGTGCTGCCCGCCTGTGCCAGCTGCATTTTCTGGGACCTCGTCTGTGCTCCCACCTGCTGAGAACAGCAGAGGCAGGAGTCCGGGCTGGCACCCTTGCAGCTGGCAGCCTCTCCAGCTTGTCTCTGCATTGGCGTTTGGATAGGCTGGCCTTGACCAAACTGGACATCTTGGATGCCCTGGACGAGATTAAAGTTGGCGTCTCCTACAAGCTGAATGGGAAAAGGATCCCCTATTTCCCAGGTAGGTGAATGAGGGGGCTGTTTGGTCCGTGGGGCAGTCCCACCTGACACGGGAATGGACGTGGCCTGTGGTCTCCGGAGCTGAGGGCAAAGTTTGCATGTTATGTGTGTAGGCTGAGTGCCTGTCCCGAAGGTCCAGCCCGTTGAGGGGTCTGTTGCAGGCCAGTGGGGAGGCCCATCCCATGAATTGGAAGTGGTCCTGGGGAGGACCTGGGCTGACAGGAGACAACCTGGTGTTTCCCCGGGGACCCTAAGCGCCTTGGCATTGGGAACCACCTCCTGGGTGCACCGGCAGCCCCCCCGAGTCAGCAGGCATGTTCTGCTCTGGAAACCTACAGCTCTGTGCAAACCTGGAGATGACTGTTCTGCCTAAGAAAACATGCTTTTTGGTTAGACTGTTTCAGAGCTAATGGGTTCATGCAACTGTAGGCCTCTTCTTTTGAAAAGCATAAAAGCGATGCTGTTTTCCTGGTTTTCTCAGTTTCACGTGCACGTGAACCAGGGGCCACACTGTGACCCCACTCCCCCAGCAGCTCCCTCCCTACAAGCCCACAGGCTTTGGGGAGCCACCCTGGCTGTCATCTGAGCACCCATGTGCAGACCCACCATTGCTGCCAGGCTGTGGGAGCCACGTGTGTCCCGTTGGCCCTGGCCCTGGCCCTGCTGACCCCTGACCTTTGAGAAGGTACAGCAGCAGTGTGGTATGGCTCTGAGGGTCTAGGGCCCCAGGGAGATGTGCAACAAAGAGTGCACCCAAACCCCTTGCAGTGTATGGCTTGTTCCAGCACTTTAAGTCAGTAAGGGCTGGTTGGCATCTGCTGTGAGCCGCATGTAGTGAGCCACAGAGTCCCAGCCGGAGCCGGGTACCCACTTTGGAGAGAAGGGACATGGATCCTTTGGGATCTTTTAATGCTTCAGGACCCTTAGAGTTTCTGAGCGGGAATTTGAGTTCTTCAGCTGAGTCACCCATGGGCGCTCCAGCAGAGCTCTTAGCCATCTGGGTCCCAGTGGGACACGGTCCCCTGGTCTGGAAGGGGTGCAGCCAGTGTCCAAGAACCACTCCCCTACCCTGAGAAAACTGATCAGGCAACTTGCCTTCCTCATTGCTGAGCCCCCAGGCCAAGGAGGCCCCAGACTGGGGGCCCCAAGCCATCTAGCATCTGATCAGATTGAAGAGATGCCATTCGTGACCATGCCTCCACGCACCGTGTGTCTCCCCAGCAAACCAAGAGATACTTCAGAAGGTCGAAGTCGAATACGAAACGTTGCCTGGGTGGAAAGCAGACACTACGAGTGCCAGGAAGTGGGAGGACCTCCCCGCACAGGCCCAGAGCTACATCCGCTTTGTGGAGAATCACATTGGAGTGCCAGGTAGGTGCCCTGTGCCAGCGGCCCCCCCTTCTCCCCACCACACTCCAGTCTGAACAAACCTTTTCCCTTTCAGTGAAGTGGGTTGGCGTTGGCAAATCAAGAGATTCGATGATCCAGCTGTTTTAACAAAGATGGAGCTGACCCAGCCAGGCCGCGGCGTACAGCCCCTGTCACGTTTCTCAGCGCAAAACCAACACCCTGAACAAAGAAATAGGCAACTGTTTTCTGTATTTTGTAGTTCTCTCTTAGCCTTCAGCTCAACCCATCAATTTCTACAATGATTTAAACATCTGAAAGCCACTGTTGTGTACATTTTTTAAAACACTGCTATTTAAAATGACCTAAAGTGCTCAAAACAGAGACCTTTCATGGCACATTGTCACATGACTGTATGTTGAGAGCAGTTTAGCAATAAGCATATCCAGTAATGTGCTGTTCTGGCTTTGTCACCATTTTGACTTTTAACCACTAGGAGCACGCTGATGCTTTGCCGTGGCAACGGCCTGGGTGAGCAAGTCTTTGATATCAAAGCCGAGCCATGTGTTTGCTCAGACGACAATGTGGGACAAGCCCATGGTAGGAGACCATAGGCATTAAACATGTTTTCCAAAATCAAACATTTAAGCAAATTTCACTCTACAGCTAGGAGCCTCTGCTGCCCCAGGGGTAAGGGAAAAAGAACTGAATAGGTCACTTCTTGACTGGCCACAGCTACAGTGAGCTTACTGCCATCTCAACTGGAAGCTGAGTGGCCTCCGTAAACAACTCTGTAGAGTCTGGGATAAATTTAGAAAAACAACTGCCAGTATTTCAGAGAAGGAAGGAATTCGGTGGAGAGACTGGGAGCTGCCAGGGTTAAATCCTGGCTTTTTAGTGCTGAGACCATGGGCCGGATTCACTGAAATGGGCCAAGTGCCAACTAGGCTTGCTTCCCACGGACCCCGCTGACCCAGGAAGGTTCCCCGGGCTCGGGCGGGGCCAGTTCACACTGTGGAAACACTAATCCCTTGACAGCATACGGGGCGAGCGGGCCGGATTCTGAAACTCCTGTGACTTTACACACACTAGCAGACTGTTCCAAACAGTGCCAGGAAGGACCTTCGGAGATCTGAAGGACGTCAGGGAAACACATTATGCACTCGCTTCCTTGGGCCTTCCAGGCACTCGGCAGCACAGCCTCTTGGGACCACAGGTGAGAGGCACCAGCAGAAACTGTTCGTTGGGGTTTTTGAGAATTATTTTCTCCCATGATATAGCAAGCGGGACAGGAGAGAGCCCTGAGGCAGGGTAAGTTCTTAAAGGAGGAGGAATCCCCCTCTTGGCAGCACAGGACCCCCACATTCCACACGGCTCCCCAAGGGAGCCGTGCTTCTCCTCTGGGATGACCGTCTGGTAATGCCTCGTTACAGCAGACAGAGCGACACTTTTGACAGTCAGCCAGAGGCATTTTTCCAAAAAGAAGTCATTTCATTCTGCATAACAGCTACAACTCTGACTTTGCAAGGTTAACCTGCGGTTTAAATTAGCCGCAAACAAGGTTTTTGAAACTCTATCTTATAGGGACCGCCAGATCCTCCACTTGAACACAAGTTACTGTGTTTCTTCCATCTCAAGACAAGATCTTGAGAAGGCGCCCCAGGCAACGCCACTGGGTATCTGCAGAGGTGTGGCAGGGTGAAAGGACACGAGCTTCCCTGGTACCCGCTGTCTCGTTCTCAGGGATGGGAGGCTCAGTCCTCAGAAGCATGGGTCACTGCAAACTACCCCCTTTTCTTCAGTGTCAGATGTTTTGAGGGTCTGAGTAATGAAAATAAGTTGTTCTCCTAAGAGCCCCAGTGTGGCTGAGCTCAGTGATCTCAGCTCCATCCGTGAGTAAAAGACAAATAAGTGGTTTGGTGACATTGTTTGATAAAATGTGTTTTTCCACGCAGTCTGGAAAGCTGCCAGTTTCCTCAGAAGTTAAGCATTCACCCTACAGCCCAGCCATTCCATTCCTAGGCACTGACCCAATAAATGAACATGAGTGTCCAGAAAAGGCCTTTCAGAGCAGCTGCCTTCGTCACAGCCAAAGCTGGCACTAGCCCAGTTGTCCCTGGACTGGTGAACAAACGGGTCCATCCACTCAGCACCACTGAGGGGTGCAAGAACTTAGCTGGTCTCGAAGTCCACGTGCTGGGAGAAGAGGCAGACACAAAAGTGCACATGTGTGTGCACACTGAGTCCGTGTGTGAGGTTCCAGAACAGTAACGCTGCCCTCTCAGGACAGAAAGCAGAGAAATGGTTGCTTCTGGTCACCTAGGCATGTGTACTTGTTGCAATGCTTGGAACTGTTCATTTACCATCTGGACGTTCCAGTGTGTAAATACGTAAGTAAACTATACCCCAACTTAAAAGTTACTGAAAGCAATGCAGCCGCATCGCAGGCCTTTGGAGCAGCTCAGACAATAATTACCCAAAACGGTAGCACCCTGGGGTAACTGTGAACGTCTTAGGGAATGTGTTTCCTGCCAATTTGCCAGCGGGGGAAGTGTGCTGCCCTCCTTGGAAGACAAAGTGTGTTCCTTCCCCGATCCCACCAACAGTCACTTCCAGAACGTCCAGCTTTCTGGGGTCACATGCTGTTCTGCAAATGCTTCACGTGACCTCAGTGTCCGGCCAGTGAGCTCTCCTGGGGTGACCCCCGCCCAGGGCGGGCAGCCTCCTCACTCTACGTGCACAGCACTTGTTCGCCCCCTTCCTTGTCCCGCCGTTGGGCAGGGGCCTTGTTGGCTCCACTCACCGCCACCCCCAAAGGCCGTAAAGACTGAGGGGGCCTCCCTGACCTGGCAGGGAGAGGCCGGCAGGGGGAGCTCTGGCGCCCACAAAGCTTTAGCGGCGACTTCCCCCGCAGCAGCTGAGGCTCTACACTCGGCCAATGAGAAGCCACGACACGTGGGACTTTCGGTTTCCTCCAATGAGCTTTTAGTTTAGAGCAGTCCTCCCGACCTTTCCTCTGTAAAGAGCCTCCCTGCGACGGAGGGGTCCTGCCTGAGCTTTTGCTATGGCTTGTCTTCAACTGTACTGAAAGAAAAAAAGACATTTTTGCTGGTAGAATAACTGACAAGTTTTACGTTTAAGGTTAACAACTGCTTTATTTGTAAGGTTAACACTACTCTTAAAAGATTCTAAGGCAGTTTGAAATCTGAACACCAATCTTCAAAAATGTCCAAAGACTCGTACTATTAAAAACATTCCTGCGAATTTCATCTACTTCTGGGAGAAAAGGAACCGAATGTGACTAGAACTGTGAGGTCTTCAAGCCGTGTCCCTAAAACAGCACATGCCTGGAAGGCGGCCCCCGGCACAGACCGCAGGGCGCCCGACAGGAAGGGGCCCCGCTCCGCGGGGGGAGCGCCCGCACTGAGTGCCGCGGCCCACACGGCCGGAACTCGGCTTCCGTCACCGCAAACCTGGGGACGGCGCACGAGCTGGAGGAAGTCGGCCTTTGTCACCGGACGCCCAGGGGGCAGCGCAGCGGGTTCCTGGGACCCCCGCGGCCCGCTGCGACCGAGCCCATGGCTCTCTGTCCCCGCGGCTCCGTCGGGAACGCCCACCCCCAGCCGTCGCGGAGGCCGACCGTGACGTCAGGCTCCAAAGACGCAGCAGGGTCAGGGACGCCGTCGGTGACGTTTCGGCGCGTTTGCGTCACCCTCCTCGTCCAAGTTAAAGCTAGGAGTTAAAGCTAAGAGTCATCTTGGAACTTGGACGTAAATGAGGAGACAGAAGCAGTTCCCACAGTTCTTCAGGGACCAAACAAAAAATGCCGAAACCCCCGCCCCTCGCGCGCACCACACGCAGGGTCCCGCCCGGCCACCGCGCAGCCCCCGCCTCCGCCGCGCCAAATCCCTACTCGACGATGACCTCTACCTATCGCGCGGCACGTCTCACGCAAGGCCCGCCCCCAGCGCAGCCTCGGCCTATACCGCACCACGCTGCAGCCTCGCCCCGCCCTCGTTTCCCGCGCCACGGAGTCCCGCCCCCGGGAGCATGAGCTCCACCCAGCTCTCGCTCTTGACCTATCACAGGTCGCGCGGCGTACGAGCCCCGCCCCCGCCCCGCGGAGGGATTGGCGCGCGACTGTGACGTCACAAGGCTCGGCCTGGCGCGCCAAGCTGCGCCGTACAGGGCCCGCGGCCATGCCCAAGCGGGGCTGCCCCTTCGCGGACGCGGCCCCGCTGCAGTTGAAGGTCCGCGTGGGACGGAGGGAGCTGAGCCGCGGCGTGTGCGCCGAGCGCTACACGCGGGAGATCTTCGGTGAGTGAGGGGTGGGCTTTCTCCCCACAACGCAGAAGGGCTTGCGGTCTCCACAGGCCGCACCCCCGGGAGCGGGGAGGCCGCGGGGACGGGGAATCCGAGGGGACCAGCCGGCCGCCGGGATTTGGAACAGTGCATGCGTCCATGTCCACCTGCGCTAGCCACAACCTGCAAGAAGCGTTCCTGCCCCTCCATTCCCCGGTGAGCGGCTCTGCCCTGCGAGGGCCGCCGGTGACTAGCCTTGGTCTAACTAGCACTAGAGTACCTCAGGCCCAGCGAGAGGTCGTGGAGTGGGAAGTCCCGGGCGCAGTGAGCCGGCATAAGTACCCACTCTCACCCAAGGGATATTTGTGGAGCGCGCCCTCCTTGTCAGGCACTGCGGCTGCGCGGGACACCCTGCCTTCCGGGAGCTCCCTGGTCTTGTGGGGGACCAGCAGGAGAAAGAATCTCCAGAGGTGATTCGGGCAGGCACTGGTCGCTGCAGGACCACCTGCAGGGGTGTCAGAGGTGTCGGAGGAACGGAGTTCAAGCCAAATCCTGCAGGGTGAGTAGGAGTTAAGCAGGCAGGGAGAGGGAGAGGAAGGGAATTCCAGACAGAGGGAGGAGCATATGCAAAGGTCAGGAACCAGGAAAGTGCAGTAGGACTCCGTGTGGCTGGACTGGCCAGGTCAGTTCAAGAAGAATTTTCGTCTGGCTTTCTGGTGCAGATTTTTAGGTGCATTGATACTGTTGGTCATTGTTTGGGTGGGCTTAATACCCTGCGGCAGCCCCAAGGGGAGCTTACCTTACTTGGCGGTTGGAGGCATGAGGTTTACTCCTGTAGTAGAAAATAACGTGGGTGTCCGCAGCTCCGGGTACCCTGGCTCTTCCTCCTGCCGCTCCCACCCCTCCGGCAGCAGCTGCCTGGCCCTTCTTTTCCTTGAGCACTAAGGTTGCAAATGGCAAAGCCGAGCTGCAGGTGATAAAGTGCTGAAGCTGTGGGGACAGTGGGGACTGTGGCCAATCTG